TTCCCTGACCAAAGCATCTTCATTTGCTCAACACAGGGCTCTCACTGTCGGGTTAGGTCAACACCCCTACGTGACTGAAAGAGGCCCGAACAAGCTAGGTGTCCTTGCCTGATTTGGGGAACCATGAGGTCATGAGCCCTGAATTTCAATGGTCCTTAGGAGCCCTGAAAACATGCTTTGGGATCCTCTGTTTGAGAGTAGGGGCCTGGAAAGAAGACTGGAGGACAGTGGTGGCCTATATTGGGACCCTATGTGCCAGACCTATGTTTAGCAGCTCATTTAGATAATGACCATGAGCCTCATCATGACATGGCTGAACTGCATCAGTTCTCCTGATTGTTGTAGAACAATGAAGGCTTGTTGTGCTCGTCAGCCAACTGGATCCCAGCTGAACCATACATAATGCTTGTAATTAGGGGTAACTTGGAGAGGAGATGCCAATTTGCCTCTGCCTGTTCAATAAAAAGCGTACTTGGAAATTTAAACGGATAGTTATTAGCATGCTTCCTTGCTGTCAGCTGTGTCTAGGTTAAAAGGATAATATTTTGCCCACAAAGGAAAGTTGAAAAAACAATTTCAATATTGTTGACAAATACAGTTTCTGTAAGACTTTGGGTTCTTGAAGCCGGGGACTGTCATACTCATTTCTGTACCCTCAGTTTTTAACACTTGCCTGAGACATAGGTTACTATCAGTGATATTTGCTGAATAAATAAATTAATAAAATCCTACTCATTTAGAAGAATATTCTCCAATCAAAAGTTTCCTGGCTTGCCCCGGCTGGTTTTTCTCAGTGGTTAGAGTGTCAGCCTGTGGTCCAGAGAGACCCGGGTTCGGTTCCCACTAAGGGCATGTACCTCAGTTGCAGTTTGTCCCTGGCCCTGGTTGGTCGTGCAGGTGGCAGCCACTTGATGTGTCCCTTTCACATCGATGTTTCTCTCTCTCTCTCTCTCTCCCTCTCACTCTATCTGAACCAAAAAAAAAGAGAAAGAAATGGAAAATTGTCCTCGGGTGAGGATAAAAAAAGTTTCCTGGCTCAAATGTTCATTTGTATCAACTTTTGGTCTAAGTACTGTCCCTATCGCTTTCTTATTCTTCTTGCCTTCTCTACCTCACACTCCCCAAATTAAAAAACAAAACAAAAACCCAGGAATAGTATGCATAAGGATTTTGCTTTGGGTTTTTGATCATTATAAATGTAATGCACAGAATATAGCTGATACTCAGTAAATATTTCTGAATTTTTTGATGTTTTATTTCTTAGCCCAGATACACAAAAAGGTTTTTTTATAGTCCCTAACTTGGAAATGGTAGTTTTGCTTTAGATTTGAAATCATTAATGATTTAGATGGCACCCAAAGGAAGTATGAAGACCTGGAGGAGAGAAACATCACACGAACTCATACCCAATCTTACAGGAAAGACATAGGGGCATGTTTCTTGTGATGGCTGGAAGGCTGGCAGGAATCTGGGCACTGAATGACTTGTTTTCAAAGCATTTCAGAGAGCACAGTAGACAGGGTGGGTGGTTGGCTTTCAAATCAATCACTTTCTTTCATGTAGTTTCTCCATGAGTAATCCGGGCTCTGCCCTTAAGAGAAGTTAATAATTAACTCTGTGCCCAGAAAATTGTTGGTGAGTGGAATTCATTGTTACTTATGTCCATTGCCAGCCAACTGTTAGTCACCCTCCCTTCATGTTTGAATTCAAGAAAAAAGTACCAGGGATGCATTTAACAGTTTTGATTATTGAAGATTGTGTTATTCAGCAATAAGACAAAGACAATCTACATATAATTTAAAAATAACTGATAATGCTAGGCATATCAACCAAGACTGTGTTGCTACTTCAACTACATAAATAGAATCAAAACAATATAGAAGGATTCTATTGCTTCAGCATTTTATTTTTAAATTAAATTTACTGGAGTTGCATTGGTTAATAATAATACTATATAAATTTCAGATGTACACCTTCATAATACAATATCTGTATTCTCTGTTGAGTGCCCCAAACCTGAAGTCTAGTCTCCTTTCATCAACATATATATCCTCCCTCACTCCCCTTCACCTCTGATAACTACCATTCTGTTATCTGTATTTATGAGCTTTTCTGTTTTTTGTTTGTTGGTTTGTTGCTTTTAAAAATATCTTCATATGAGTGAAATCGTATAGTTCTTGTCATGTTCCATCTAACTTATTTCATTTAGCATAATACTCTCAAGCTCCATTCATGTTGTGAAAAATGTCATTAGTTCATCATTTTATGGCTGAGTACTATTCCACTGTATATACATAGCACATTCTTTTTATTTTAAATCCATTCATCCATCATCAAAAGACAGTTAAGTTGTTTGTTCGAAGTCTTGGGTATTGCAAATCATACTGCAATGAACATAGAGGTACCTATATCTTTATGAATAAGTGTTTTCAATTTTTTTCTGGTAGATAACCAGAAGAGAGATTGTTAGGTCATATGGTAGACCTATTCTTAATTTTTTTTTTTTTTGAAGCCTGCATACTGTTTTCCACAGTGGCTGTACCATTTACATTCTCACCAGCTGTGTGTGGGGGTTCTGTTTTCTCCACATCCTTTCCAACACTTACTTCTTGTCTTTTTGATAATAGCCATTCTAACAAATACGAGGTAGTAAGTATCTCATTGTAGTTTTGATTTTCATTTCCCTTACAGCTGGTGATGTTCAGCATCTTGTTATATATCTATTGGACATCCGTGTGTCCTCCTTGAATGAGTGTCCAGTCAGGTCCTCTGCCCATTTTTTAATCAGATTTTTTTGGCTGTAGAGTTGTATGTCTTACTCATAAATTTTGGATATATTAATCCAGCACTGTGGTCTTAGGTTCTGCAGAGATCGACTCTAGGTGCAAATTTGTGTGCAAGAGATTCATTAAGAAAAGTTTCCTGGGGAAGACCATTAGGAAGCATGAGAAGCAAGAGAGAAGGGAGGAAGCACGGCCAGGCTGGGGCTCCCTTTTGGGACAGTTCTAGTTTCAGCCTGGCCCCCAGGGGAGCTCCAGGCTGTAAATTACTGGAAGTATCATCTTATTGGCAGTACCATTTCTAAATATCTTGTCCCATTCAGTTGGTTGCCTTTTTGTTTTATTGATGGTTTCTTTTGCTGTGCAGAAGCTTTTTAGTTTGATATAATCACATTCATTTAGTTCTGCTTTTACTTCCCATGCCTTTGAGGTCAAATTCACAAAAACTTCTCAAGATCAAGGTTCGTATGTTTAATGCCTACGTTTTCTTCTGTGTTTTTTATTGGATCAGGTTTTATATTCAAGTCTTCAATACATTTTGAGTTAATTTTTGTGTGTGGTATCAGGTAGAAGTCCTGTTTTATTCTTTTGTATGTGACTTTTCGGTTTTTCCAGCACCATTTACTGAGAGACTTTCCTTTCTCCATTGTATGGTTTTGTCTCCTTTGTGAAAAATTAGTTGCCCACATATGTGTGGGTTTATTTCAGGGCTTTCAATCCATTTCCATTAGTTAGTTTGTTTGTTTTTCTATCAATGGCACACTGTTTTGATTACTGTAGCTTTGTAGTATAGTTTGAAATCAAGGTATATGATACCTCTAGCTTTGTTCTTTTTTAAAAGGATTTCTTTAGCTATTCAGGGCTTTTTGTGGTTCCATACAAATTTGAGGTATTTTTTTTCTATTTATGTGGGAAAAAATGCCAGTAGGATTTTAACAGAGATTTCTTTAAATTTGTGTAAAGATTTGGGTATTATGGACAGTTTAACAATATTAATTCTATGAACTCATGAGCATTGAGTATCTTTCCATTTCTTTGTACCTTTCTCAATTTCTTTCAACAATGTCTTGTAGTTTTTAGTGTATAGGTCCTTCACCTTCTTTGTTAAATTTATCTCAAAAGGAAAACTGAGGTTAGAAAGTCAGATAACTAGCCAAGGTCACACAGGTAGAAAGGGGCTGCTATGGGAAGCAAACCCGCTGCTCTCTGATTCCAAAGCATGAGGACATACGGCATATGGAGGGTAGAAAGGAGACCAGACTTGGCATCTGGCTGACATCACCCCGCCGTGTAATCACAAACACGCCACACACCTCTCCAAGCTGCAGTGTAACACACTTAGAATGACTCAGGTGACCACGCATCATTTAAATAGGGGGGCCTTTTGAAAGTGAAAGTGGAATATAGTAGACAACAGTGACGCTCCGCTGTTCAGATCTCTCTCTTTGGATTTTTTGGTCCATTTTTATGTGTCATTGCACCTCCGCCCAAGTCCCAGTGTCCCCTTTCTTCAGCCTCTAATGCCCAGGACTCTGGCTCTTTCAGAGAACTTCCCACAGCCTACTGGGGCTGCGTTATTTCTCCATGTAGAGAACCTTAAATGCCTGCAAATTCACTTCCCCCGGGTAGCCACTGGCCAACAGCAAAAGGGTGAGAGAGTGTGACAGTCCAGCTCACTGGCTTCAGGAGCAGACACCTGAGACAGGACTTACACCCTGGAGCTCCCCTGGGGGACGAGGCTGAAGTTAGGGCTGTGCCGGAGATGGCAGCCTGGCTGTGCTTCATCCGGTTCTGTCTTGCTGCCCACACTCCCTTAATGGTCTTCCCTGGGGCATTTTCTTAATGAATCCCGCGCCAAAAATTTGCATCTCAGTTTCTGTGGTGCCAGTGTGCTGGACTGACAGAGAGGGCCATGCAGTACTTGATGGGTTCCTGAGAAAGGCTGGAGCATCTCTGAAAAATCCTTGAAGGAAGAGGAGTGATTCTTCCCTGTGTGGGATGCCATCAGTAGGAATGTGCTTTAGGAAGATGGATGAGACAGCCCCTCAAGGAATTAGTCGAACCTCACCACGTCAGACAGCTTCCTGCCAGGGATGCTGGCTGGCCTTTAGCAGTAAGCTTCCTAGCTCAGCAAGGGGACTGAAGCTACCAGGAATCGAGTCACGCGGGACAACTCATTTGCGGGAAGCCATCCCCCCACGAGCAACGCCATTCACTCACCAGCACCCTTCCTGCAGGCCTGCTGGTTGCATTTCTGGAACTCGGGAGGTCTGGGTTCATGATCACACTGGCACTGGGCTGGCTCCTCAGTGCCATTGTTCTCTGAGGAAACGCAGTGGACAGTCCTCTTCTGAAAGCCACCCCCACAGGAAGCGGTGCACTGAAAGAGAGGGGCGCATGAGCCGTCGGGATTGTCCCCAGGTTCACCCAGGGACTCCAGCAGAACACCCCCGACCCACCGTGGTCAAGGAGGGGAAAGCCTCAATTATCGAACCTTCTATTGGAGGCACAGGATAAAGGCACTGATAGTGTGGAGATGTGAAGTTAGGAAGAGTCTCATGACAGATTTTGTGGAATTGAATTTGGCATAATTTACTACTGGTTTTCTGTAGAGTGTGCACAGAGGTTGAATGATGAATAAAGTAGAAAAACATTTCATATCTGGGCCCTGTTTTCTCCATAATCCAGCTTCTTTGAACAAGACTTGATCTGGGGCTGGAAGTCGGAGTGAGGAAGGGGAACGGAGCTACGCAGAAAGCGCAGAGTACGATAAAGAGAGAGGTGGGAGAGGAGAACCACGGCGGGATGGAGAGAGAGTGTGGAATGACCCGGCTGGGCCACGTCCTAGGTGAGCTGTCCCAACAGATAAGGTTCCACTGTGAGGTCATGACCTTTCCTGCGAGCGGAAGGAGAGTCACTAGCCTGTGACAGCAGCTTAGACAAGGTATGCCTGGGGGTGTAAGAAAATGTGTCTGAATCTACCAAATATGTGCTTTTAGAATTCTGGGTATCTATCTGAAAAATTTGAAAATACTTATTTGTAAATAAAGATATATGTGCTCCTATGTTTATTGCAGAATTGTTTGCAGTAGCCAAGACATGGCTAAGTGTCCTTTGACCATGACTGGGTAAAGAAGATGTGGTATATACTACAATGAAATACTACTCAGCCACTAAAAGATGGAATATTGCCATTTGCAACAACATGGATGGATCGTGAGAGTATTATGCTGAGTGAAATAAGACAGTCAGAAAAGGACAAGGATCATATGACTTCACTCAGGGGCTGGATATAAAAGCAAAAGTAACAAGCAAACAAACGAAACCAAACTCATAGATGTAAACAACAGAAGGCTGGTTACCAGAGGAAAAGGGAGGTGGGGAAGATGAAGAGGGTAAAGAGGTCAAGTGCACGGTGATGGAAGGAGACGACACTTTGGGTGGTGAACACATAATAGAGTAGACAAATGTCATGTCATAAATTTGTACACCTAAAATTTATATAAAACTATTAACCACTCGGGCTGGTTTGGCTCAGCAGTTAGAGCGTCAGCCCGCAGACCAGAGAGGCCCGGGTTCGGTTCCTGCTAAGGGCACATACCTGGGTTGCAGTTCATCCCTGGCCCCGGTTGGGGTTGTGTGGGTGGCAACCAGTCAATGTGTCTCTCTCTCTCCCTTCCTCCCTCTCTCCCTCCTGCTCTAGCTGAAGATAAATGCAAAAATGTCCTCGGGTAAGGATAAAAAACCAGAAAACTATTAACCAATATTACCCCAATACATTTAATCAAAAATAAATAAATAAGCCCTGGCTGGGTGGGTCAGTGGTTGGAGTGTTGTCCCTTGCACCAAAGGGTTGTGGGTTTGGTTCCCAGTCAGGACATATACCTAGTATTGCAGGTTCAATCCCTGGTCAGGGTGTGTACTAGAGGCAACCAACTGATGTTTCTCTCTCACATTCAAGTCTCTCTCTCTCTCTCTTCCCTCCTCTCTATCTAAAATCAATAAAAACATATCCCCAGGTGAGGGTATTAAAAAAAAGGAGCCCTGGGAAGTTTGGCTCAGCAGTTAGAGCATCAGCCTGTGGACTGGAGAGTCTCAGGTTCAGTTCCTGCTAAGGGCACGTACCTCGGCTGTAGTTTGTTCCCGGCCCTGGTTGGGGTCGTGTGGGTGACAACCACTCGATGTATCTCTCTCGCGTCGATGTTTCTCTCTCTCTCTCTCTTTCTCCCTCTCTCCCTCTCGCTCTATCTGAAAATAGGTAAAAACATGTCCTCGGGTGAGAATAAAAGAAAAAGAAAAATACTATGTTCTAGATAAAAGAACCCTGGTGTATGAGTAGAAGAATGATCAATAAAAATAACAATATAGTAAGAGCCACACAAAAAATATATAGTACACACCAGTATTTGAATTGTTCATGGATGTACAGGTACAACTCTACAGATATGCACAGTGAAGACTACTAAGAATACAGCAACCTCAACATGGGGGCATTATGTCTGGCAAAAGACTGCACTGGCCTGTGTTATACTTATAACCATCAAAACACACTTCCAGGAGAACACGTTTCTTTAAAAAACATTTCGAGTTGAGAGGTCAGTGTATTAGATCCCCTCAGCCCTGCCTTGCCCAGCTGGGCCTTGACCTTCCCCAGCTGAGCCAGTACCCAGCTTCATGGAAGCGCAGCCCGGGGGCATGCACCTTGTGCCCAAGCTGTGCCTCTCGTCTCCCAACTCTGGGCTTTCTTGTTGCCAATGAGGCACGAGACACAGTGGGACCTGCCCACACATGACTAACCCAAGACAATGGAGGGTACTAGCCAACTGAGGGGAGACCTTTTAGCCATTCTTGGGAGCCAGGAGCTCTCTCGTCCTGCCTCTGGACAAACGGCCCTGAGAGGCGGTAGTTCATACAGCTTCGGTAAGACTTTTCGAGAATGAGTCATCACCTACTCCTGACACCACGCGCGGTCAGGCCGGTGACGCACCACCTCGTACCTGGTCCCCCTCCTCCCCTGCCTCCTCCCTTTTTTCTATCACATCTGCTTCCCAGGAATTGTATCTCCTAATAAAGTGATTAACTTTGCTTCAAGACTTTATTTTCTAGAGAATCCAGGATAAGACAAGTCAGAGTGATGGCCGAATCCATGGAATTTTATTACTTTTCAGTATCACTGATAGTTTTATTTATACAACAAATAAACTTTGAATAATAATAAATCTTCCCCTCATTTACAGTTTAGTTCTATTATTTGTTTCTCCATCCACCTGGCAAACTGATCTGCAGGTGACAGGGGACCTGGGGCTCGCTAAATCAGGCTAAGCCTCTAACTTGACACATGCTACTCCCAGTCGCTCTGAAAAAGCCGGAGGGTCGAAGAGTTTCAGGCCAAAAATTGCCTGTCCTTAGGCTTCGTGCCTCTGCAATAATTTTAATACCTGATCTTTATCTTTTGAGAGTCTTTGATCTTTTTCTCTTCTGAACTCAAGACAGTAAACATTGACCACCGTGTCAGCTACGGGTCAACTTTAGCAGACTTAGAGGCATATTAGATAGCGGAATACTAGGACTGAAATACATAGAAACACACTGTAAACCAGTGGATACATTGAACATTTACAATGAATACATATTACTTTTGAAATAAAAAGAAAACAAATGCTTCTTTTTTTAGACTAGAATAAATTGAAGAGAACATAACGGATTCTTACCAGGTCCCAGTTCCCAGTGGCCCAGTGACAACAGGGGTGCCCATTGCAGGGCGCAGTGGACATGGGCCTCTTCTCCCAATCACAGAGGCCTCTCGGGCAAGTCACTCCTCTCTCCTGCACGCCGCCTCCACAGGGCCTGGAACACTGACGCACGACAGGGACAGGTTAGGTAGAAAGCTCACGATGTCACTGCAGGGGTCAAGGAGGACTTTCTACTACCACTTCCGTCGAGTGCAGCGTTATTAAGAATATTAGTGTCTGGCCCTGGCCTGTTTGGCTCAGCAGTTGGAGTGTTGGCCCATGGACCGAAGGGTTGAGGGTTCAGTTCCCGGTTAAGGATACAAACGTGGGTTGTAGGTTCAATCCCCAGCCCTGGTCAGAATCGTGTGGGAGGCAACCAGTCAAAGTGTCTCTTTCACACTGATGTGTCCTCTCTCTCTCTCCCTCCCTCCCTCCCCTTCACTCTATCTGAAAATCAGTGGGAAAATATCCTTGGGTGAGGATAAGAAAAAAAGAAGAATATTAGGATCTGTATTGGACCCAGCAGCACCGGTTACAGGTCCCTTACAATGACCACTCGGTCATTTCAAACAACAGTGGGAAACAGAATGAGAGAGAAGGAAGGAGACTGACAAAGGAATAAGCGGAGAAAAGGAGGAGAAAAAACCAGAAGATGCCAAATAGTTCCATGTCAAATAATACGTCAAACAGAAAGAATTCGGGTTAAAAATCTAAATGAGTTGTCATTCCAGGATGGACACTGTTATCTGCATTTTGACTTCTGGCACCAATGTCTGGAAACCAAAATGTAAAATGTGGACGTTTTTAGTATGATTTGCTCCGACAGCCTAAGCAGGGAACATACGCTTGCAATGCAAATCTGTTCGTCTCCTGTTGCAATGAGATTCCGCCCTCCTTTCCTGCTACACGAAGCTGAGAATTCATCTGTCTGTACTCTGAACAGGGAAAGTTGTAGGTTTGCTCAGCGTTCTGATGCACCAGAAACAAATGCTCACAAAACAAATCCGAAGTGACAGGTTGGGTTCCTGAAGGGATACAATTCTAAAACGTGTCAGGTTTTTCGCTCACTACAATAACTGTATAAGAAACATTGTTTCATCTTCCTGAAGTTTCTAGGAGGAAATTAAGTAATTCACCAAGAATCTTTGAAAAGCACTTTCAGTACCTTGAAAAATCTTAATTATGTCATGGTAACAACAACAAAACAGTATGGTTGTCAACATCTTGCTCATGACGTCAGGCACTGTGAGTGGGGTGGACCATAGAAAACAGAAATTATATACAGACAGCCTTTTCTGCCCAATAAAAAATGACTCTGTTGCTTTCACAATGTCTCAACTTTGAGAGTCAACATGGATTTTTCTCCATTTATTCACTGTTTTTAACTATATGAAGAGAGAGAGGGAGAGTAATTCTGCATTTGAGATCTTTGTGTATACCTACGTGTGTGCATATAGATTCAGGACTATCAGGCTGAGTAATCTCTAAGGGATGAAGAAGATATAACCCAATGGTCCTCGAAGTGTGGTCCTCAGACTAGCAGCTTCAGCATCTTCTGGGTACTTGTTAGAAATGCAAAATTCCATGCCCTACCCCAGACTTCTGAATTGGAGACAGGGTGGGGGTCCAGACATCCGTGTGGTAACAAACCCACCAGGTGGTTCTGAAGCATGCTCAAGTTTGCCGCCCACCAGAGAAGAGATGTCTCCACAGCTGAAATGTACCGTTTATGCAGCAGTCCGGGCTGGCCGATGTTCCCTGACATTCCCATGTGGTGTCCACAGTCTGTGTAGACACAGCAACGTCATGATGCCTCAGGAAAGAACCGACACATGTCTAGCCCCCAGCAGCTCCAAGGATATACCCAACTGACTTTTGCATTTTTGCATCTCCATCCACTACTCGGAGCCTCAGAGGGAAGACTTCAACCTCGTGTTTGCTCAGAACAGAGAGATTTAGAAAGGAGGGTGGTAGAAGGCCTCCAGGGAACGATGCTCCAGGAACAGACTCATGAGCTGCTGAGGAAGTGTAAAGACCACATGTTTTCCTAACCAGAGAACAGATATGATTGCTCATCTCTGACAAGATAGTCTAAGCTCCACTGTAAGTCCCAGGATTCTGGAAGCCGTAATCACGCTCAGCATACGAGAGAGCTTGGAGCCTTGGCCCAGAGCAGGAGAGAGCAGGTTCTGCACGTTCTCCAGAGCTGGGCGGGGGAAGGAAGAGAAGGCGGGCATGGTGGTGCTGCTGCCCCAGAGAACCAGTGTTGGCCCAGAGGATAGAAATCAGCGTGGCTCTGCTTGACCACGGACACAGACAGTGAGTAGCTCTCGGGGAATCCGTCTCAGACAGTTTGCCCAAACTCTGTGTCCTGCAGCTGTGGTTCTCTACCATCCCGTCCCTGGCACATGTAGGTTCCCCCAAATGTTCTTAATGTACTCTTTTTCCTCAGTTCACCGTGCTAACGTCTACGGTTAGAGGAGCACAGGCATTGGAGGGTGCCTCAGGCTTGAATTAATCCTCCGCCAATTTACGTTCTAGTTGTGTGACCGCGTGTCAGCTTCTTAACCTCCGAGTCTCCATGTCTTCACCAATTAAATGGAACTAATAAGGCCTCCCACCCAGGCTGTTGTGAGAACTAAATCAAGTAGTATAGGTAAGATGCCTAGCTCACGGACACCCTCAAAATATGCTGGTTCTGTTTTTTTGTTGTTGTGGTTAATCCTCACCCGAAGATCTTTTTCCATTGATTTTTAGAGAGAGTGGAAGAGGGAGGGAGGGAGGGAGAGAGAGAGAGAGAAAACATCTATATGAGAGAGACACATTGACTAGTTGCGTCCTGCATGACCCCAACCTGGGCTGGGGACCGAACTCACAACCCAGGTATGTGCCCTTGACCGGGTCAAACCCGAGACCTTTCAGTCCAAGGGCCGATGCTTTCACCACTGAGCAACCCTGCCAGGGCTGGTTTTGTTTTTCTCTTTTCCCCCATGCACGGATGCATTTGGGAGTGGCGTTTCTGTCTGCCGAGGAATTTGCCCATTGGAATAAGATCATCATGTTTCACCAAAGGGCATAACCTTGCTTTCATGTACTGAAGCAGGACAAAGACCCAGCAGGGTCGGTGGCCTCACGAAACAGCGGACAAGGACACGAACACACACACTTCTTCTTCTTGCAATGACCTGGGCGTCTAGCGGAGAGGTGGGCCTCCAAGACGCACTGTGTGGGGAAGGGATCCGACCACTGCCCGCAGCCTGACTGCAGAGGCCGGGGCGGCCGTGAGGCTCTGATCCAAGTGGTCCCCATGCATTTCCCAGCAGGGACCCCCAGTCCCTGTCTAGCCACCAGAGATAGGTTCTGGCGAAAACACTGATGTGTCACAGTGGAAACCACACCACACAGTCTTCAAGTTGTTGACCTGGTCGCCCGCCCCCCCGGGCTGGGTGACTGAACGGAGGCCAGGCATGGGCACGGGGCAGTGTGGCCTCCCCGCACCTCGAGCCCCGTGGTGGCACGGACGCTGGCACTGGCCGGCTGTACCTGGCTCCAGGGCTCCACCTGCCACTCCTCGCAGGCCTCCACGTTGCAGCTGGCGCTCGGCGGGGGCGGCCGGCCGGCCAGGCCCTGGCAGTGGAACGGCCTCAGGCCCCGGTGGTCCCGTCTGTCCACGCACTGGACCTGCCGGGTCTGGACGCCCCCGCTGCAGTCCCGGGAGCACTGTGTGGAGACAGGGAAAGGGGGCCTGAGTCGGGTTCCCAGGGTGGCACGTGGCGCTGGGGCGGTCCAGCCTCGCAGTCACCAGCCGGTGCGCTCCCGTTCAAGCGACAGGTGTTCCCTCACACGCCAGAGGGCAGGGCCACTCACGCAGCTCCCAGACACGGGGCCCCCGCGTGTCAACACACACAGGCATGGAGGTGTGCGGGTTTGATGTCGGACGGAACTGGGTGGGAAGACCCGTTCTTGCTCACTCGTCACGAGCTCTTAGGCAAGTCACAGAAATGCCCTGGGCCTCAGAGGTCTCATCTGTAAAGTGGGATAACGGTGTTACCTCCCGGGGCTGTCCTGAGGTCGCAGACATGGGGCTGGGGTCCCTGCTGGCGGGTCTGTCTCCTGGGCACCGGTTCCCTCTGCTGTCTGTATTCCCCCGAGCTGACCCGTTCTGCCCACAGGGACCTCTCTGCCTCACCATCTCTCCCTAGAACCTGCCCAGACCTGCTTGTCCGTGACTCTGAATGCGAGACAGGGTACACGTTCTCTGAAGGGTCCACGTGGGGAAATACAGTGAATAACTGTGACTTAGCAGACGGAGCACACCCTGTCCGTGTCCCCACCGTGCTTCCTCATTCGGGCACCGTGGCCGGCCTCCGGCACAGCCTTTGCTCAGCACGTGCCCCCGGGCCACCATGATGGCCCTCACTCCCCTCTTCCCACCTGCCACCTCCGTGCCCAGCCCCGCGCCCTGCTCTGTCTCAGGAAGGCCCGGTCCCCCTGCCGGCCGATGGCTCCCTTCAGATCAGAACAAACAGGACGAGCCACCGTCACCCACAGTCAGAGAGAAGTGGCCTTTTCTGGGGTACTCCCTCTGTCTCCCCTCTGACCTCCTGGACTTGGGGAGTTACTCCATTCCCCACCGATCAGTTCTGTCCGATCATCACTGGAGCCTGACACGTGGTCTCCATTCTGTTCCGAGGGCGCCGCCCGCCAGAGCCCTGCGGCGTGTCCGGCTCTGCCTCCTGGTCCCTCACGGCCTGACCTGGCCGGGCCTGTCCTGTCCCTGCACTCAGATGGGGACCTGGGGCAGGTGAGACAGAGGCAGACCCCTGGGCTTCTCGGCCTTTCTCCCCGATTCCCCTTGGGTTAACGGTATGTCCTGTGGTCCTTCCTCGTGTCCGGAAGGTCCCTCCTTCCACCCCTCAGGGCACCCACCAGCCACTGCTCTTCCTTTAGGCCTCGGCTTACATGTCACCCCTCAGAGAAGCTGCTTGAATAGCTTGATCCTCAGGAAGCCCCCCTTCTTGTTTTCCTCAGATCCTTCCAGCGCCTACCACAGGGGCAGGAAATATGGAACAACCTTCATTTATTCTGTTCATCTTTTCTACCCGATTTCCACTGCCATGAAGTAGGACCCCTACCTGGCCTGGTCACACTGTGTCCCAAGCACGTGGCATGGTGCCAGGCACCGCAGAGACCAGAGACAGTCCCTACGAACTCCCTGAGTGAACATGAGTTCCGGGGAAGGGACCGTCAGGGAGGGCTGTCAGGGGCTGTCTGCGGGGACCACAGGGATGGGAACATCTGTTTACCCTCTTACTCCTGCCGTCGAGTCCACTGCATTCCTGCGGAGAAAGCACTCCCCACAAAGCGTGCCCACAGCTGCAAGGGATGTTTCCATGTGGCCTCCTCTCCACCTGGCCATGCCGGAATAGTCATAAGGGTAGGGTTGTAGTTGGTCAAAGAAAAGTCCTTGTACCTTTTCAGTAGAGGTAGGTCCCAAAATACCAACCCCCTTTTTCTGCCACCCGGCAGATTGCACCAATCACCCGCCTGCAGTCCTCGGGCTGCAGCATGGACAGAAACAGGCCCGTGGGTGAGGGGACAGACTGGTGCTCCTTTGCTTGCAGAGACCATGGTGTTTAGTTTCTCAGAAATAGCAATACTTGAAAGGCAGCCCCCCCAAATTAAAAACTTCATTTTCCTGCCCTGCTGTAAGTACACAAAGGAAAAAGTAACTGCCAACTGAGAACCAGCCACAGAAGAAACGAAGAGGCATGTGAATAATTCCCACACAAAGCAACCATTTCTCTGACCAAACAGACTGCTGGGAAACAGCACGCGGTTAAAACAAGAAGGGTCCTTATTAGGAGAAGGGAGTTTTACAAGACATGAGTGTAAAATGAGGTTTTATTTTCTTATTTTCCATTCGTTGCTATAATCTGACATTTCTACAGTGAATTTTCAAAATAGCATTGCCCTTTTGTCAAAGAGAATTCCCACTCAATGAAAAATGAAGTTTATTAATATGCTAAACGAAGTAACAAGGAAAGACACTCACTAAAGCTATGACTTTGCTATTCCTTTTTTTTTGGGTGGTACGTGCCCCTAGCAGGAACCGAACCTGGGACTCTCTGGTCCGCAGGCCCCGATGCTCAGCCACTGAGCCAAACTGGCCGGGGCTGCTATTCCATTTTCAAAAGGCCTCTGATTCTGTTGGCAGGACGGAAGTGGCAGGACATTACATCACTCCACGCCCAAAGCCGTTTAACCTTGGGTCCTGAAGGCCAATTATATTCGTTTTCTTACTGCCCAAAAGGAGGGTCATTTGTATTCATGTTTTCCTAACTCGAGACCACACTGAGGACAGGAGCCAGACCAAGGCCCAGATGTGACCAAAGCAGCCCAACCCTTTCCAGTTACCGCATTAGCTGTTGAACTGCTAGAATCTGCAACCGAACTGAGTTGGGATGAAAGTGCCCTCTGCTCACAGGCGCCACCAGCAGGCAGGACCCTGACATGACCGTGGATCAGACACGTCTCCCAGCCTGTTTCTCCACTGTGTCAGAAAGAGGGTAAACTAGTTGAGAAACGAGTCCAACATTCTGAGCGGTGTGTTTATGGAGTGACCAGATTTGCCCTCTGTGTTGATTTCAGAATTCTTTCTTGCTCTCCAAGTTGCATGCCAAATACTAACCCAGCATACAGAAAGAAATTCTTTTTGGTTCCTTTCTTGGTGCTACACACATTCCTAAAACCCGTAAGATCAAATAATGCATTCCAAAAATTCTAAGTTGGACAGCACCAAAAGTCACCCTTTCATCTGCTCCCCCCACCCGCCACCTCCTCCCAGCTGCTGGGTACTCGTTCTGTTCCAGGCTCTGAATCCCAATCTAGCCGCAGGGAAAAGTGACATAAATGAGAAGTAATAAAGGCTTTACGTCAGCAGCCGTCCATGATCTAGTGAGGGCACAAAGGAGGAGGTGGTCAGCTTCACTGAAGAGGTGAGGCTCAAACAAAGGAGCCAAAGTTTGAGTTGCATCATATAAGATGAGTAAGATGCCCATTCAGCTGGCAAAACAGGGAAGGAGACCTGCAGGGTGGAGAGGCTGTCACAGAGGCACATTCAACAGCAGGGCTTGTTTAGGAACAGGGAGTCGATAGGAGCACTGGGCAGAGAGTAGGCGGACGAGAGAGGGGCGGGGTCCAACAGGGAGGGCCTCCTGGTCTGGACATCAGTCCTCAACTAGAGTGTTTAGAGGTTCATGCTTCTATTTAACTGACATTCCTCTTTAGGGATCCCTTAATCTGAAACCCTCAGGGGTGTCAAGAGAGGGTGATAGTTTAGACAGACAACAAATTATATCAAGAGCAAAATAAACACAGAGATTTTCAGTATGTGATCCACGTTCTTACTACTCAATTCTCGCTTTCTGAGGACAGAAACTCCCTGTAACCCGTAATTCTATGTTTTGTCTTTTGCACACTGGACTTTAATATATGTCCCTGGGAACGTGTGATAGATAGAAGTTGGGGGCTGTTTGTATTTAGCAAGATAGCAGCTCTTGCCCTATTTAATTCATTTGTAAAAATTCACACCTAAAATGTAGCATAGCCACTGACCATCTGTAAAGTCCAATAAACAGGGAGCCAAGACGTGCAGTCAGGCAGGAAGACTAGAATGTGTGCCAACATGTCAGCAGATCTGTGACACGCACGGTCACCAGGAAAGGCTGCCCGTTTCTCTTCTTTCCCAGGAAAGCTATAGATTGAGTCCATTGCCGCTAAAACGAAATTGCAACATTGCCTGGGTGGGAAGACAACATTCCAAGGAAAAATGTAAAAGTATTCATTTCAGAGATAACCATGATGTCTTAGACTTCATTATGAAAGGGGCGATGCTCATTCTCCAAAAGATAATAAAGGGGTTGTCAGGTCACCGGTTTACAAAGCTTCAGAAGGTGCGGGAACAACCTTCCATCAGGAAGCTGTGGCTGACGCATAGTTTTGGTGTCAAACCCAACTGGGGGTTTTTCAAGCTCATCTGTGTCACATACTGCTCTTCTTCCAGCTCAAGAGTCACTTTTTTCCCCATTATTATTATTGATTTTAGAGAGCGAGGAAGGGAGAGGGAGAGAGAGATAGAAACATTGATGAGCGAGAACATCGATTGGCTGCCTCCTGCATACCCCTCACTGGGGATTGGGCCCCTAACCTGGGCATGTGTCCTGACCGGGAATCAAACCAGGGGCCTCTTGGTGCATGGCCGGACGCTCAACCACTGAGGTACACCGGCCGAGCTAAAGAGTCCCTTTTATTCGTTGTACAGATCTTAACGTTCTGAAACGCCACGTGTCTTACCATCGATGTGCGCGTTTGCCGCGCAGTGCTTCCCTTCTTTCTGCAAAGCTGTCATTGAACTGAGGGTGCAGCCTCCAGGCGGTGCTTTCTTAGAACTGAATGTTTAGCACCAGCTGCATGATGGACTGTTAGTGATGTGAAAGCTCCCAGCTTTTGTTTTGTTGTTTTTGCAATCTATTACTTTACTTTTGTTACAGATGTTTCTCTTTTTTTTCTCCAGACACCCTCCTCCCCATCCCCCCCAACCTCGTCCCTGGCTTTGTTGTCCATGTCCATCGTTTATGCGTACATGCACATAAGTTCTGTGGTTTATTTCTTCCCTCCCCCCACCACTCCCTCTTCTGGGGGTTGTACCCTACTTCCAAGTCTCTGGGACTACCCTGTTCTTCAGACTGTTCATTATATTCCACAAAAAAGTGAGATCATGTGATATTTGTCTTTCTCTGCTTGGTTTGTTTTGCTGAGGATAATACTTTCCAGGTCCCTCCATGTCGTCTCAAAGGTTGAGAGATCTTTCTTTCTTACAGCTGCATAGTACTCCATTGTGTATATGTACCACAGCTTTGTTATCCATTGTCTACTGATGGACACGGGCTGTTTTCAGATCTTAGCTATTGTAAATAGTGCTGCTATGAACATGGGGGTACATATATTCTTTCTGATTGGTGTTTCAGGCTTCTTAGGGTATATTCCTAGAAGTGGGATCATTGGATCAAATGGCAATTCAACTTTTAATTTTTTGAGGTAACATCATAGTGTTTTCCATATTGGCTGCACCAGTCTTCATTCCCACCAGCAATGTACTAGAGTCCACTTTTCTCCACATCCTCGTCAGCACTTGTTGATTTGTTGATGGCGGCCATTCTGGCAGGTGTGAGGTGATTCCTCATTGTTGTTTTAATTTGCATCTCTCTGATGATTAGTGATGATGAGCATTTCTTCATAAGTTTCTTGGTCATTTGTATGTCCTGTTTGGAGAGGTGTCTATTTAGCTCCTCCGCCCATTTTTTAATTGGGTTCTTTGTCTTCCTTTTGTTGAGTTGTATGAGTACTCTATATATTTTGGAAATTAACCCCTTACCTGATATATCATTGGCAATGATGCTCTCCCATATAGTGGGTTGCCTTTCCATTTTGATAATGTATCTTTTGCTGTGCAGAAGCTTTCTAGTTTGATCTAGTCCCAAGTGTTCATTTTTTCCTTTGTTTCTGTTGCCTTAGGTAATGTATTAGTGAAAATTCTGCCGCGTATGATGTCTGAAATTTTGTTGCCTACAGTTTCTTCTAGGATTTTTATGGATTCATGAGTCACATTTAAGTCTTTTATCCATTTTGAGTTTATTCTTGTGTATGGTGTAAGTTGGTCTAGTTTCATTTTTTTGCATGTAGCTGTCCAGTTTTCCCAACACCAGTTATTAAAGAGGCTGGCTTTACTCCACTGTATGCTCTTGCCACCTTTGTCAAATGTTAATTGAGCATATTGTCTTGGGTCCATTTCTGGGTTCTCTGTTCTGTCCCTCTGGTCTATATATCTGTTTTTGTGCCAGTACCAGGCTGTTTTCATTACAGTAGCTTTGTAGTATAATTCTAATACCCGATATTGTGATCCCTCTGACTTTGTCCTTCTTTTTCAAGATTGCTGTGGCTATTCAGGATCTTTTTTGGTTCCATATGAACTTTTGAAGTATTTGTTCTAGTTTTGTGAAGTATGCCATTGGAATTTTGATGGGGATTGCATTGAATCTATAGATTGCTTTGGGTAATATGGAAATTTTAATGATGGTAATTTTTCCAATCCATGAACAAGGTATGTGCTTCCACTTTTTTATATCTTCAACTTCTTTTTTCAGTGTCCTATAGTTTTCTGCAAATAGGTCCTTTAATTCTTTGGTTAAATTTATTGCTAGGTGTCTTAAATTTTTTTGCTGCGATGGTAAGTGGGATTGTTTTTCAGTTTCTCTTCCTGTGACTTCATCATTGGTGTATGCTCCCAGCTTTTGTTTCCACAGCGGGGATTGTCAAGGAGGTTCCGTATTAGATAAAAATTGAATTGTTTCTCTAAAGCTCTTCTGCAATGTTGGACGTGCGGTGGTGTCTGGCAAATGCCAGGGCCCAAGGTAACAAGTCCTCCAAAGTTCAAGGACAGTCTGAGCACCTTGTCTGCTTGGGGCAGGGGAGTGGACATTTACTTGAGCCAGCTGCTTGGTGACAGGGTTTACTCCTCCACTGTCCCTTGTCCACAGGCCTTCTGCCCCCGGAAGCCAGCTATTAGTAAACACGTAAAAGCCAGTCCTAACCTTTACCTAGAGCTCAGAATTTGCCCAGGGTTTCGTTTGAACAGTCTTTTACCATTTACAAAGTTGTTGCACAAATATTCTTTTTTTAAAAAATTTTTTTCCCTTTAGTGATTTTGAGAGAGAGAGGAAGTGAGAGGGATAGAGAGATAGAAAACATCGATGAGAGAGAACATCGATCGGCCGCCTTCTGCATGCCCTCCACTGGAGATTTGGTCCACAACCTGGGCATGTGCCCTGGCCAGCAATCGAACCAGTGACCTTCTGGTGCATGGGTCGACGCTCAGCCACTGAGCCACACTAGCCACACACAAATATTCTCTCTTGATCCTTATGACAACTCTATGAGGTAAGTAGAGGCCATATTCTATACTTTATTTTCAGAGGGGAGCAAACTAAAGCTCCTAAGAGGTTCAATGGATGGACCAGTGTCACACAGTGTCACATGCTGGCCAGTGACCAAGGGGGCTGCCAACCCAGATGTGTCTGATCAGCACTGCTTCAATTCTGTAGAACTACTTTTCCCACGCATGTTTCTGGGACAAACCTGAGAACTATGATCTTGATTTGGTTCCGGACAGATCGATGCATCAAGAGGAAACAAGAGGTTCTGGAAAACTACTTCTACACCTTGTAACACTAGAGATCCGAATGCGAAGTCTCATTCACATTTAGCAGAATCTAAACCCTCAATATTTAAAGGCAAAACCAGGGTTCACTTTCCTACTCTAGGTTTTGGGGATCTGCCTCTGAGTGATGTTAAAAGTCCTGGTGGAACAGTCAAACTAGGCAGGCCTTCGAGTCTTTCCTGGTGCGTGGTCGGGACTTCAGACACCCTTATGACCTGGTTAGTAAAGTGGAAGTCAAAATGAAGTCTCTCTTAACCATCAGTGTCAGATATTCCTGGGAAAAACAGAAGTCATGTATGCAATATCCATAATATCCGTTAGTCTGAAAAAACAAAAGTCAGTACAATTGACTACAGCAGTTAAATAGCGTCTCTGACGGTAGGTGTATCTATTATCTTGAGGAAAGAGACATCTTCTTTACTGAGGAACTGTGTCACTGAGGATTTGATTTTAGCTGTGGTGGTGACCACCTTCTGGCAGAAGTTGATGGGATGTCGGAGACATCGTCTACAGAACCACTCGGAGTGCTTCGGGGTTAATAGTACCTGCCACCCCCCACCCCCGGCCGCCAGGGAGAGGGACCCAGAGCCAGGGAAGGGACACGCAGGCAGAGCAGGGCTTCCCTTGGGGGTCTGCCCCAGAGAAGATCCAGGTCTCTCACCAGGGTTTTCCACCAGCTGGAATTCCCAGGATTGTAAGTGCGGTGACCTGTGCGAAGTGTGAGCTATTTCATGCATTTCCTTTCCGAGAACTGGGATTCCATGGGAAGGATTAGTCCCAGGGGTGGGAACGTGGACCTCTAGGACTTGCTCAGAGCTAGGAGGGGTTTCTTGAGATTTCTCTAGATAATGAAGAGAATGTGTAGCCAAGCATTTCGTCCTCGTTGGACCCTGAGTTTGCTGAGTTGGCAGAGAAGGAAACAAGAGCCAGCGATCATTCCTGAAAGAAACACGGTATGCAGACAGGAAGGAGATTGGCGGGCAGCAAAGAAAGGCCAAGAGATGTTCCAGGGAGAAATGCTTCCCCCGCTTCTGAAAGATCAGAGTTCCCCGCTGGGAAAAGCAGCCTGAAGCAGGTAACTGACGTCCCAGGCTCCTGTCTGCCAGGGGAGCCGGAGACGTGCAATGAGACCCCTCGCAGTGCTGCTTGTTGGGACATGAGCTCTCCGCTAGAGGACTGCAGCCCCCCGCCCCAGACTTCTGCCTTCTGGGTCCCCAGCAAGAAGACAGGGCCCACAGGGCATCTCGGGTTGTGTGTGCTTTGCAAACAGGTGTATGCATGGCTCCTACCCCTGTACTGCCTACTGCCAGGTGGGTCTCAACCCCACTGCTGACCAGTGTCATAGACACGGTTTATACCCCCCAGGGGCTGGCTCACCCCATCCAGGTGACAGGCAGATCGGCCTGGTTCGTGCCCCAAAGCACCGAGGCTAGGCAATTCTAGAGCCTGATGCAGCCTTTACAAGAACTTTGCAGACGGCACAATAAAATGAGTAACCGCAGCCTGATTAGCAAAGACAATAAAAGCACAAAAGATCGGTAATAGAAATACACTTTGAAAGATCAAGTTCTTCTCCGTGCTCAGCTTCCTTTTCACTTTGCGTCCGGCAGACGCCACGTAATGCTTGCTTTGTGAGCAGCCGCTGAGCCATGAGTTAATTATACATGTGATAATGTGTGATTGTTAATTATAATGCTAAATTTAAGTAATTTAGAGGTAGCGTTGCCTGTTGGACAAGCAGTTAGTTACACAAATTTAGCTTACCTGGTAAAGGAAAGGACAGGTGGATTAATAAACACTCTGGACTTGTCCTAAGACTTGTCCTAAGACTGTTGTATACAAGAGTAGTGGGCGTTTGGTAACATATCCACGATTTTATCAAAGAAATGAGGCGGAAGGGGGCAGGGAGGTAAGAAGGGAGGAGAGAAAGCTACTTTTTAGCAAATGCTTAAATAAGACCTTCCTCCCCACCCCACCACACACACACACACACGCACACACACGCACACACATGCACACACATGCACACACACAGATGTACACACACACACCCTGAGCCTGCTAAGTTACCTTGCTCCAGTTTCCCACTTTCCAGCCCGCGCATGGACGGAGGTGGCATCTCTTAGCGGGGTCAGGCTTCTGAATGGGCGCGCAGTCGGACTCCACCTGGGTGCTGCACTCCACGCGTCGCCAGTAGGCCCCCAGCCCGCATGTGGTGGAACACTGTGGCAGGGGACAGAAAACAGGGGCTGAGGCCACTGCCTCAGATACGCTCCATGGCCCCCTGCCATCAGGAGTTCTCAGTCTCTGCAGCTCACTGAAACGGCCCGCATTTCACACCAGTGCTGACCCGAGGGGACAGAGACCCATGCCTCTGCCTCTTACCTCACATCCGTACCCCACAGCTGTACACCACCACAGTGACGCCCCAGTTAGCCCCGTCCATCACACACTGCGGTGTTGCTACAGGAAACCCAGGCTTGGAAAGCTGGCTTGCCCAAGGAGTAAGACTAGGGTTTTCTGCCTCTAAAACAGTAGGACATTGTTCCAGCAGTACTTCTCAACCTCGAGTGTCCCTAGGAATCACAGGGACACCTGGTTAAATGCAGATTCCAATTCAGGAGGTCAGCGGTAGGGCTGGAGGGTACGCATGTCTGACCAGCGCCCAGGCGATGCAGACGCTGGGGTCCTCAGCCCACACTTGGAGTTAGAAAGATGTTACAACATGATGCTTTCCATGACTTGCCCCACGGCTGGTGAATAAACCAGCCACCATTTGCCACGGGTACAGCCCATTTCTCACACGGTGCTTTAGTTTATTTATAATTTAGGTTTAGCCTGGGGTCACCTTGAAAACGACACCCACTTCCCCCTACAATTTCTTTATTCTACGTGCCTGATTCTTTCCTGTGGTTGCTTTTACCTGCATCCCCTCTCCCCTGCCCATCCTTAGAAGGAGGGGCTGTTTCTGGACACGTAAGACCCAGCTCTGGGCTAATAAAAAAGGGATGGGGCAGGAGTTCCATCTGTGACATTTTGGAAGATTTTTTTTTTTTTTTTTATCCTGACCCGAGGACATTTTTCCATTCTTTGTTCAGGTAGAGTGGGAGGGAGAGAGAGGAACAGAGAGAGAGAGAGAAACATCTACGTGCACACAACCGACCAGGGCCGGGGACAAACTGCAACCGAGGTACACGCCCTTAGCGGGAACCGAACCCGGGCCTCTCAGGACCGCAGGCCGACGCTCTAACCGCTGAGCCAAACCGGCCAGGGCTGGAAGAATCTTTTGATGAGTTATAAATAAACACCAGCCTAACATTTCTCTAGCTGCATTCTCAGTTTCCATACAATTTTATGTTTCACTTTGTGCAAGTTCCTGTGTTATGACACGTATGTAACACGACAGAGTTCCTAGGTAGATAAATTCACTAAGGAATCATAGAACGGGAAGAGTAGAAAACAGCCCAGGTCATCACTTCTTTTCATTTGGCTCCTGGAGCTAATCTCTCTTCCTCCTCCTCAAAGTTGTCTGGGATTTGGTGTGTCTCTCACAAGCTCCTAGCCCTTCTCCTCAGTACTATACTATGTATCTACAAGAGAGATAATAACAGCTAGAGTGCACTGACCGTTGACTGCTGCTGGCCCCCGTGGGTCACACCCATGCCCTTTGCAATGGGACTTGGCAGCTCCTCTGGCCAGGTAGGGGACCATATTTCCCCAGCCCTCGAATCAGGACTGTTCTTGCGACTTTGGCCAATAAAATGCGGTGGAGGATGTGCCAGTTCCCAAGGGCCTTGCTTCAGTCCTCTCTCCTGGACCCCGTCTCTGCCATGAGAATAAAGCTGGCTAACCTGCTGTAGGATGTGACACAGAGCCGGTGACCCGGCCAAGGCACTCCCAGAGTGGCCAGCCTTCTGCCAACTCTCCACAGATGCGTGACAAGCCCAGCTGAGATCAGCTAAGCTCAGCTCAGACAGCAGAACCTCCCAGCTGACCCACAGACTCATGGACAAAAATAAATGTTTACTGAGGTGTTGTGGTTGTTTATTTAGCATCATTATGGCAATAGACACTCGATACAACACAGCAGGTATCTTTCCTACATCTTCTATCCCCTCCTGAGATGCAGGGTACAATCATGGTTCTGCAGTTGGCTAACCATGTGATCATTTGCAGTTTCCTAACTTCGCCAGCCTGTGAAACTGGTGAAAACACTCGGACCGCTTTCCCTGGGTTGTTGTGAGGACCAAGGAGCTGATTCATGCACGTGGCCAGTGCTCTACAGATGTCACCTCCTAAACACAACTCACCTGCAAGGTCAGCATACGAGTCCCACCTTCCAGATACCTGGGGCCCAGAGAGCTTAGAAGCCATGCTCAAGGTCATACGACACTATACTGTTCATTTCATATTACAACATGGAGAAAAACGCGACATTTGTCCAACCCAGGAAAGGAGCTAGGAAGACCATATTCAAGGGCTAGTGCTGACCACAGTAAATTTCAAGTGCTATCTATAGTTCTTTTCACCACTCTATGTTGCAAGTAAATGCACGTGGTCTCTGGGGCTCCACATCTTGTCCTGCCGGACTCAGATGTCCTGAGCAGACACTTGTTTCGTTCCTTTTTGAGTCTCTATTTAAGCAGCAAACAACAGTCCAAAGTTGAAGCCGACAGGAGGAAGTCCAGGGAACGCAGAAGAGTAGATGGGATTCCACGGATTGTCAGAAGTGGGGGATCAGAGAGAAAGGGAGCTCTGAGGAGGCTGAGGGACAACTTCACGTTGTCCCAGAAACAGCCAGTGACCACATGGGAACCGATTTACGGGTCAAGCAGCAGGTTCAGGGCGTCCGGCACCGGAACGGACGTGCAGGGCTGCACCACGCAAGAACCGCTGTGCAGGGCCGGGGAGGGCTGCTGTCCCTCCCATGTCCGTGACTGCAGAGCCCGTATCTAACTGGCTGGCCTGCGGGCTCCCTGAAGGAAGAGGCCATCGGATGAGAGGTGATTTCCTAATAAGACCAGAGCCACACCCGGCATGCTGCAGAATCCCTGTCTCCTGTCCTGGAAACAGATATCAGAGCGAACATGAATGCGTCCACGTGCTGGACACTCCTCTGCGCCTTGCACAGTTATTCCCTTTACCTCCTAACACTTGAGCCACGTGTCACCGTCACCCTCATGTAATAGCTGAGGACACTGGGGTGCAGTGAGGACAGTTAGTGATGGAGCCAGGACTCAAACCCAGAAGTCTGGTTTCAAGCCTTTTGTCTATTTATAGTGTTCACTTGGTTTTTATATCCAGCCTTTCATTTTCAAAGTCAGAGTTAGAGGAACACGCTGGTGGGACGGGGGATGCGGACAGCCCTTCACCGCAGGGCGGAGTCGGAGCCCGAGGCGAGGGAGACGGCAGTCAAACGTGAGCAACGTTAGAAATTACTTCTGACCTTCAGGATGAGGAAAGGCTCAGTGAGCAAGAAGCTCAAAGGCTGACATTGGAGAGCGGGCAGGATTTAAAAGGGCAGAGCAGGAGGAAGAGAAAATTCCAGACAGAGGAAACAGCAAAATTAAAGGCATTTGGTCCTGGCCGATTTGGCTCAGCGGTTGGAGCGTCGGCCTGCGGTCCAGAGAGACCCGGGTTCGGTTCCCGCTAAGGGCATGTACCTCGGTTGCAGTTTGTCCCCGGCCCTGGTTGGGGTTGTGTGGGTGGCAGCCACTCGATGTGTCTCTCTCACATCGATGTTTCTCTCTCTTTCTCCTGCTCTATCTGAAGATGAATGCAAAAAATGTCCTCGGGTGAGGATTAAATTAATTAAGTAATTAAGTAAAGGCATTGGACTGGGAGGGGCAGAGGGTTCGGAGAAACTGAGTTTAGATTTATGGCAGCTTCAGGTGGGTGATGAAAAGCAAGAGGCGAAAGGCTGACAGTCGGATTACGCTGCGAAGTCCGCTTGGATGTCAGAGTGGATTTTACCTGATCTGATATGTAGTGAAGAGACATTGAAGAGTTGTGGGCAGAAGTTTGGAGTGACTAGAAGGTTCCTTTGGAAGACTAATGTGGCAGTCCGGCCTCTCTTGCGAGGACGTGTGGGAAGCACGGAGAGGGAGGGACCGGACGTGCACAGACCGGCTAGGAGGCGTCCAGCAGACGCCCTAAACAAGGGTCGTACCGAGGGTCCTTCATGCTCCACCCCTGGGGTGCTAGTGGCATTCTGGACCAGACAATGCTTCCTATAAGGGACTTCCTCAGTGTTGCAGGATTTCTGTCACCCTTGGCTCCCAGGCTTGGAATACCCGAAGCAGGCGCCCCCTCACTGTAACAAAATCATCTCCACTCTTTCCCACGTGCCTCCTACCATTAGACCGGAAAACACCAGGCCCTGAGCTAACAGGAAATAAACCGGACAGGACAGAATGATGGGGTGACACTGACTCGTTAGGGTTCTTTCAGCAGCGGAGCAGGTTGATGTCAGTGGTGATGCTGGGGTTTCTCAGATGTAGTGGTTGGGAGGAGGCTGATGACATTACAGGGAGGGGGAGTCCTAAAGAAACAGCTTCAGAAATCGGCAGAATAAACACTTGGGGACGACAGGAAACTCAAAACCCAGAGCTTTCATTCTGAGTCCTGATCCTCTCTGACAATTCTGTGTTACAGGTTCTGTTTCAGAAGCTGCGTACAGGGAGCAGGCCCCACGCCTGGCCGAGACGGAAGCCCCTGCCAAATGCGGAACTCTGTTCTAGGGGCTTCGAGCACCCTGCACTCGGGCCCACCCCCTTTCCAGCCTCGCTCCCCGGAATCAGTAGCTCTCAATGGCTGCACCAAGGATGCCAAATGTTTGGTGAACTACAATGTTTATTTCTGTCAAAATCAAAAATGACATTTGAGATAGAATTAATTCTGTGCATCTTGATTAGACTATAATCAAAATGTGTCAATTAACCTCTGGGCTCAAACTAGTCATCAGGTTTAATGTGTACTTTTATTTTGGTTTAATTCGTTTGGATATAACAATTTCTCATAGAATCAATTAATATTTATCAATGAATTATCACATATGAAATATCTTCAGGATCAAAACATTAGACCATATTTAAATTTAATAATTCCACAACTGCTTTGGGATTCAGGGATTGTGTGAAAAGATGAGAGGAGGGGAAAAGAAACTAACTTCTGGGTCATCCTAATGCCACCTTTTAATAAAACTTTTGTATTGACTTGTGGACTGAGAAGGGCTTGTCCTTTATTAACAGTCCTGCTGTGGGGACTCTTCCATCCTAGGACTGTGACAGTTTCCTGAAGAGCCTTCCCTGTGCACTGCAGTCTGGCATCTCCCTCCATTTCAATGTAGACACTGCGCTCCCCACAGTCACCAGTGACTTGCTGATTGTCAAGTCCATCGGGTCCACGTCAGTCCTTATCTCCCTACACGTCCATGGCACAATCTCTATTGGTCTACGCCTTAAATACTAGCTGTTCCTTACTAGCCTCCCACACGGGGTCTTGTTGTTAACCGGGTCCTGCACATGCTGTGTTTCCTAGGGTACCGTCGCTCGCCCACTCCTCTTTGCATCCTACAGGTCAATGGGTGGCCTCCTTCACTCTCAAGGTTCTAACTTCTACCTGCTGACCTTGCTCATTAATTTCTACTATTGTCTCTAGTTTTCACCTCTCCCAAGAACCTCAGACCCATACACACAAACATCTATCATCTGGATATCCCAGAGGTACCACCAATTTAACTCGATCTACCACTGAACTCATCATCCCTCCTTTCGTCGTCTCTGTTAAGACTCAATCTTCCTATAAATGTCCAGTATCTCAGTTCATAGGAGCACCGCCCAACAGACAGATTCCAACAGAATTGTCATGACAGACTCCCCTCTTCCTCTCTCCTTCCACGCCCCACATCAATTATTCCCAAAGTCCTACTGATATTGAGTTCTAAAGGTATTCTGAATGTATCTTCCCCTCATCACCCTAAGCATCCTTGTCATAGTTCTCATGGCTCATCTAGACCGCTGCAGTAACCTCCCAAACCCCCCATCCTCACCGCTTCCAGAAGGAGCTGCCTGAAACATGAAGTGGGCCGTGTCATCCGGCGGCAGAGGCTAGTTATTCACTATAAGCATGTTTCTCTTCTTTCCGGGCACACGATTGGATTCCATTTCTCAGCTGCCTTGCAGTTTGGCTTGGTCGTGTGACTGAGTTGTAGACAGTGGAGTGTGAGCCAAAGCGACTGATGTCCCTCTCAGGCCTGGCTCCTGAAACTCCCTACGGGAGTAGCTCTGTGCTCCTTTCCCTTACTGAGCCTGGGATGGTGACACCAGGGCATCGCGAGGAGGGTGGCAGAGCCACTGTCAGCCTGGATGCCCACATGGCTGCGCGGACCAGAGCACCATTCCCTACAGCCGCCACTGAGACCTGGAAGGACCTTGGCTTATTATGTGAATGAGAAATCAACCTGTTTCAGTGAACCATAAACATGTATGGCTGTTTGTTATAATCACCTAGCCTCGTGTGTGTGTGTGTGTGTGCGCGCGCGCGTGACTTCTAATTACATATACACACTGTACACGTCATACTTTTATTCTGACATCAATCCCATATCAATGCCTTTTACCACTTACTCTTTCATATTCTGTTGTATGCTTCTCAAGACACACGGTGTCTTTAATTGCAGATGCTTTCAGACTATATCTCCATTAACTAACAAAGTACCACATATCAACTAGTAGCCTCAGTTTCCATAATATGTTCTCTTTGGCTTTGAGTCTTCAAGGGTCACACACTGTCCAGACTGTTTTTAAGGATGGAAGACAACAAGTCTCTTTATGTGTCCTCCAGGGATGCTCCATGTTTTTGGAAGGAAAGGTGTGTTTTCCACTAAGTCCTCTTTTGAGTTGTCAAATTATTTTTCATAAGTACATATACTGTGCTTTTGAAATGCAAAGGGGTGAGAAATAATTTTGATGCTTCGAAGGACTGAATTAGTTCTAGAATGGAAAAACAGATGCCTAGCCAAATTCCTGAAGCCTGAAAATAGGGGCCAACATTTCTTCATCGTGTGTTTTCTTCTCCCTCTGTATTCTATTTCTTTTAATAAGCCAAAATGATTTTTTTGTACACAAGGAAACACACCCAAAAGAAATCATTGATACAGTGAGCTACAGAATTCTTTCTTTTTTTAAATCCTCACCCGAGGATACTTTTCTATTTATCTTGAGACAGAGAGGGAGGGAGAAGGAGGGAGAGAAACATGAACGCGAGCAGGGCAACCGGGGTATGTGCCCTTGGCTGGGATCAAACCTGTGACTCATTGGTCTGCAGGCCAATGCTCTACCGCTGGACCAAACCGGCCAGGGCTAGAATTCTTTTAAAGAATGTGGTGTTAGACTCCCATTCTAACTGTTATTACTTGACAGGTTTAAACTAGGTCTCTGACATTGGCTTTCTGAATGAAACATGGCCTTTCCATTGGTCTTCAGCACAGGATCAGCGCAGTTTATAGCTGGGAGGGACCTGCACTAGCTCATTGTTCTGCAAATGAAAAACAGGCTCCGAGAGATGAACAGAGCTGGCTGCCCCAGACCTCTTGATTTGATCCAAGATTCTTTTCACTCTATCTCACTACATCTCTTCTCTTCCCTGGAGACTTTCCCCTCATTTGTGGAGTCAGGGAGGTAAAGAGGGAGCTGAGGGCATTAACCTGATTGCTTCATGCTTACTCCACATTAGACTGTATTTTATACAAGCCCATTTAGAAATTTGCACAGGAATGCAATACCCCTGCGTATTTTTCAGACAGAAACAGGCCGGGGTAAGAGATGGAGTTCCTACCTCACTCCAGTTTCCCACGATCCAGGAGGCCGGGCCGCGGTCCATTGAGAGCTGCTTGTAGTTGGAGGCGTTGAGCAAAAACCCCTCAGCAATCAGACTGGTGGCATCGTCCTCGGTCAGGACTGGTCCAGGACTCTGCGTCAGATCCACGTGGCCTGGAAGTTCCGGGGGTGTGTGGTTTACCGGCTTTTCTGAGGGTGCTGGCTGGTGGTCTCCCCCCAGAGGGAGCGAAGTGTTAGCTGGCCTGTCACTGGACACCCCCTCGGCTCTGGGTGTACCGTTTCTGAGAGAAGCGGGTAGCAGACCAGTCACTGTGCTGACCGGTGGCCACAAGGATGTCCCCCAGATAGAAGGTGTTGGCGGAGGTCCAAGTGGCATTTCAGGACTTCTTCCCACCGAAGTGTCATTTCCAGGTGCCGCGGTCTTTGTCCATAGCACAGAGTTGTTTTCACTTTTGTTCTCGGGTGGTTCACTGTCTTCCCCTGAGCCACTGTGAGCCTCCGTGTCTGGCTCTTGGCTTAAGGTACTGGAAAATGGAGTCACCGGCCAGGTCACGGCGTTGCTGGAAGATGACACCTCGGAACCACTGGTTGTGGTGGCTGAAGGCTCTCCCTCTGACGTAGGACCAGGGTCTGCACTGGAAACATGCTCTGCCTTTGGCTGGGTGCTCAGCGCCCAGGCAGTGAGGATGGGCTGGGAAGTAGCTGCAGTGGCCGTGGCGTGGCGGGTGTCCAGCTCAGTCTGGGTGGAAGGAGTCTGCCACCGGGCCCCACCCAGGTCTCCTGTGGAGGCTGTGGTAGGCCCCGGGCTGCTGACTGTCCGAGAACCTGCGCTCACGGGCTCAGGCACCGCTGGTGAGGTCAGCGCGCTGGGGCTGGATGCTGTCGGCGGGCTGGGCTCTAGGGGGCCCTGCTCAGGTGCAGGCAGCTTTCTCCCATGGAAAACGGTGCCTCTGTTGGGTTTGAGAAATCTCCGGCTAGACGGGCATTGCTGGAGGCCGCACAGAGCTCGGCTGTTGGGTTTCCTTGTCACGTCGCAAGGCTCGTCGTGGTTCTTGGCACACGTGACACTGCGAGTCCGCACTCCACCACCACAGGAAACAGAGCACTGGAAACGAGAGACAGCTGTCAGTGCCCGAGACAAAGAGCCTGGCTTCTCATGCTCAGGCTGACAGCGAACCGGGCAGACCTAGCAGAAACTGAACTGTGCAGCTGAGACCTTTACACTTTACATTTGTATCTTTTACTTCTGCACTCACGGAAACATGCATCTCCCGGAGACCTGCTGAGGCTCAGGACCGACCGCTGACCCTCCACAGACTGAACATACAAACCACGGCAGGATAAAGGAAGTCTCCTTGGGCTTGGAGTGTCGGATAGTGAATTCATAAAGAATGCAAAGTTTTAAATAGGTCACCTAATCTTCTAAAGAGAGAGCAGTAATATCTTTCCTAGAGTTTTGATACTATTACATTAATATCAGATGTTTATACATTCGCTGACATCTGTTGAGTTCGTTCTAATGAACCTTTCCCTGTATACTTAGGGACTGCCCACTATAACTCGTCCAGTCTCACCCAGGCACCATGAGCTCCATGTCACTTGCTGGTGTCAGGTAGAATCATATTAAAAGCTAGATACTCACACATGTATGTAGATCCAGGACCTTTCCTGAAATTTAAGGTGGGTAGTTAACCAAAGGTAGGACATACCCTTTACAAAGTGTTAGGTGAGCCCTATAACATGGTACTGATCTACACACGGGGTCATGGCAGGGACCCCTCCTCAGTGTTCCCTGCACGTTCTGTAGGGCACTCAAATCCTCGCTCTATGCTTGGAGGCTGTGTGACCTTGGAAAAGTTTCCAAATATCTCTGTGCCTGAGTTTTTTCACTTGTACAAATGGGACTTCATAAAGCCATTGTGAGATACTGTGTTAAAAACTACACTGAGTTTAGTATATACTAAGTGCCCAATATGCATTTGCTATTGACATGTAATTAAATACTGACTCTGATTTGGCAGAGTCTGTTGGTCACTAGAAGCAACGCCTGAGCCCTTGTTTCGGCCGCTAACATTCGCGCAGGCCCTCAGCCCCGTGCTCAGAGTGCTCTGTGCACTCCTGAGCTTGGCTACTGATCTATGGCCCCCACAGGTGGGGTCCACAGATACTTTCATCAGGATACTTGGGTGCCGTTGACTGGACAGACTCACAAAATCAGAGCAGCATGGGAAATAGACCCTTGTCTTCTTGCCTGATAATAAAATTACCATTTAGTGAGCAGTCGCTATTTGCCCGGCACGGTGTGAAGGGCTCCATGGTTATCTGCAAGCCGTACAATAAGCCAGTCTTTCCAAAGGGGGAGAGGCTGACAGAGGTTCAACATTCGCTCAAGGCCATACAACTAGGGCTGGAAAATCTAGAAAAATTGCTCTCCCACCAGATCGATGACTCTAACTGCCAGGAGAAATAGGGGATTAATGAACTAATCACCTCACAGTATTTTACAAATTAAATGAGACAAACTACATAGTATGGAGAGCACTGGACAAATGATGGGTGGCATTACTGTTATTTCCATCTATTCACTTCACTAAAAATAATTACATGCATAGAGTTCACTGCGTGCCTGGCACTGTTTCAGTAAGAACTTCAGGAGTATTATTTCATTTAATCCTCATCACTTCCCTTGAGTCTAAGTACTATCTGCTGCTATCCACATTTTATGGATGGAGAAAACAAGCCACAGAAAAGCAGAAGTAACCACGAAGAGATTAAATTCACCTATCCAGTAAGTGGCAGAGCCTGGATTTGAACCCAGAAACTCATGTCCCGAGACCATGTCCTTCACCACTAGACTGGCTGCCTCTCACAAGGCTTGTCCCTGGAGTGGTGTACCTAGTAAAAACGGGAGCCACAGAAACCTTGATACTTTGTCTTTGTTTACAGCATAGAGAGTTCCCCTTCCCTATCCTCCAAGCCCAGAAAGTAGGTTGGGCAAAACCAGGAGAAGAGTCTTATTGAAACCTGAGATTGGGGGTGAAAACCTGAGCTGAGAGGTGGAGGGGCTGATCAGAGAAGGCAGATAAGCCCCCCCTGGGAACAGCCTCTCGCCCTCACTAGGTGCCCCCTCTGGCCACTGGCACAGCTGAGCCCGCCCTTCTCTGGTTGCTTGGGCTAGCAGACCCCCCTTGACAGAGAAGGGCAGTTCATGGATTTGCCTTTCCTCCCTCCCACCTGGGTCAGTCCAGGAGGGGCCATTCTACAGGAGTCTAGGAGCCTCACATTCTCGTTTTTTATTTTTTTGGCCCAGTTACATGAGCGCTTTAGACTCATCCATTGTGACCCAAACAGCCCAGTGCAGACCAAATGAGCAAGTATTGCTCACCCACTACCCTGTGCGAATTAATGTCAATCTCAAGGTAAAACCCAGACCATAAAGACTATGCATCTATAGCAAAAATCACTATATTATCTCTCTTTTAAAAGTAGCTGAGCATAGTTTGAATGTCAAAAACATTTCATTGTATTCCAGCAAATAGAGTGTTTGAAAAATTGAGGTCTAATGGGTACAGCCATTGGCAAGACAGCAGAGGGAAGAAAGAAAGAGCCACTCAGTTATTCTGATGCTGATTTAACTACAGGGCCCTGTGCCCACAGCACCTCTTGAAGGAAGGCAGGGCTCAGCCTTTCTGCTCTGCTCCATAAAGTGGAAGCTGGAAACTGGATCCCCTGTCTGCTAACAACACACTCTGCACGGCCTGTATTTGGAACAGCAGACACAAGTACTTGTCACATCATGCTAACATTTTGGTCCTTTGTCCCGGGTTAAGTCACATCATTTTGTTCCCCATAAACATGAACACAATAAAAAGAACTCCTCCGCCAAATACGTAATTGCAGTTCTTTTAAAAAGCATGAAGACTCTGCCAATTAGAAAATTCTACATGACAAGTCAAATTATTAACCGTTTTGGATGCAGTCAAAACGTTTCTGGTAAACAGATTTAATGGACCAGTCGCAATACCCATTCAGCCTTATTTCAACAGCACTGTGATTTACAACTCTCTGTCTAGGTTGGTGATGGACTAATAGGCCAACCAGAGGCACCCTGAAATCTCCTGGACATAGCAGGGTGGGTGTTCTGGACTATGGCTGATATGTGCACATGAATCAGAGCACCCATCAATAGTGCACCTGTATTAGTTTGCAGGTATGCTTTCTTTGCATGTACACCTTTGTCTTCCTTCCTTCCTTCCTTCCTTCCTTCCTTCCTTCCTTCCTTCCTTCCTTCCTTCCTTTCTCTCTCTCTCTCTCTCTCTCTCTCTCTCTCTCTCTCTCTCTCTCTCTTTCTCTCTTTCTTTCTTTCTTTTTTTTTATCCTATCTCTACATTTGATAGGAAGTTCTTACAATACAGGGACCCTACTAGCCATTTTATTTTTCTAATTCTCATCCAAGGATATTTTCCCCTATTTATCTTCAAATAGTGTGGGAGGGAAGGGGAGAGAGAGACATCAATGTGAGAGAGACACATCAACTGGTTGCCTCCTGCATGACCCCGACCAGGGCCACAGACCAAACCGTAACTGAGGTACGTGCCCTTGACCAGAATTGAACCAGCGACTCTTTGGTCCGTGGGCTGATGCTCCAACCACTGAGCCAAACCTGCCAGGACCATACTGGCCATTTTTTTGAAAAACTTTCACCTATGTGACCAAGAATGCATTCTGTATGGGATTAAAAGCTAAATAAACCTAAACCGTGACTATGAGCTAATGAAATAGGGTCTTGAAAATAGGTTATCAAAGTGGCTGTATCCAGATTAGTGTTTTCTGTTTTTAATGTTGTCTTCGGAGATGGTACCTTTGCTTGTACAAATTTTCAAATTCCTCTTCAGATAATGTTCTCAGAGCACCTTCATAAACGATGAAAAGCAAATGAAATACCACTTTTTAAACAAAAAGATTTTATCCAAATTGGTCCCGTCACTCCCTTACCCACCAGACTTAGCTCTAACTGGTTTTCTGTGGCATTCTCCTGAACCAAATGCTTTCCATTGCTCTGGGGGTGGGTTCCCAGGGGAGTTCCTCGGATATCCTGGTCAATGGCAGTGTTATTATGGAAGTATGTGGCCTCCAAAGGAAGCCTGTAGGAAGTCGGCATCCATCTGTAAATTTCCTGTTGGTTTTAAAAACCCGTTTGTTTTCCAGTCATTCTTTAGGTCGTTGGCTGAAATGTGCATAAGGATGCAGAGTGGGGGCCCTGGAGACTCCAGGACCCTTGGAGATAGAAGGGGTCCACTCCCCTACAGACTCTGGGAACACAAGCCTTGATCGTACCAGGTTCCAAGGTGAGCCAAAGACAATGGAAGCCTGGGAGTGTTCATGACCTAGCCCACTAATTTCTATTTACACTCAGAGAATTAGATCAAATTAACTTTGGGACAATGCAAAACTCATCTGAATGCATGTGGCTAATAGCAGTAGAGGTCCTGAACCTTGGTCGGTTTGGCCTTGGCACGTGTTGAAAAGATGGACAATTTGAGAGGCCTCTTCAAGGGCCAGGTGCACACCCATCTTTCCACCCTTGAGCAGCAACCCTTGGTCTCACTTCACGCTGTAGCGCCAGTGAAACGTAAGTTCTGGTAAATGTTTACCAAACTGGTTCTTGGGGTGGGAGGGAGCCCTGATTTGCTGCCAATGGTTTAACAACAGGCCATCAGAAACCCTGACGATTTATCAGCGAGCTGTTGTGAGCCGGGCCAGCAGGGTCCAGCTCACCCCTGGCAGGTATCTGATCGCTGGAAAACGTCAGAGGAAGGTCCTGTAAGAACAAAAGACAGCAGAATAGAATTCTGGGCAGTGGAAGATGCAGGAAACAGGCCAGCGGTACGCTGGCCACGGTGCCATCTTCTCTAGGGTCACTTTTGATTGGTTAATGATGCGGAATGGGCGGGGCTGAAGAGACATAAATAATGCCAGTTTCCCTTTTAACCCCTGAACTCACCTCACTCCAGTTGCCCACTGTCCAGTCCGAGGGACACAAGATGTCCCTGTTGCAGGAAAGGAGCGTCTTGGGCCTCAGCAAGTGCTGGCAGTCCTTGGCCGGCAGAGCCTGCTCGTCCGAGCCCATGGTCTGGATGCACAGCACTGTGCGCGTCTTCTCGCCGTGGGGCCCGCACGTGGCCGAACACGCCTCCCACTCCCCTGCCCACCACCTGCAGACACACACGGAATGTCAGAGGTCACCACAACCCCAACAGACACATGCACATACACATACAGATACTTATACATACACATACTTATACATATACTTATACATATACCTATACCTATACATACACATACATATACATACACTTATACATATACGTACATATATATTTTTCATACATATATATATACTTTTTCATATATATGCACACTTTCATTTTTTCAACTCAACCACTGAAAGAGAAAGCAGGCACAGAAGTGCAGATTATTGAGCCAGGATGTAAACCAAAGTTTAGAGACAAGTCAATAGGCAGAAGAGACTCAAATGACCCCTTTTGGGAATCAGATGCACTTTAATTGCATAGAATTATTTTGTTGACGGGTTACTCTATCTTGGAAGCCACTGACCATGTAATACATGTTTCTTATATTAAGATTATCAGAATGTTTCATTATTTTTAGATTATCAGTATTTTTAAAAAAAAATATCTCCTAAAATACGCATTTGGGAAAGGACACAGAATGTCAGATTCGACGTAGAAACACATTAGTACTGAAGGCTATAACCCAGAAATAAGTAAGTTTACATCTGGTATCTGAAATCATTCTGGGAGGGGAGTGACCGCAGGGCCGGCATGAACTTTTCAGATACCGTGAGAGTTCAGTGACACAGTAAGATGTCGCGACTTGAAATCCATACCCAAGGCAATGACCGGACCACGCTTGCAAAAACAAATAATATCAGCAAAGTCATCGACATTTATATTACTCATTATTCTTAAAAAACACAAGTTAGTCTAATTTCTTTTCTTTAATCTCTTTGTGAATTTGCATGCATGATTTAACTTTAGGGTCAGATTTTTCTGTTTGTTTATATCATTTTCATTGTGTCTTAATGTGTGAGAAATATGTTAAATGTGGGGATCTGGCTGGAGAAGGAGAACGTGTCTGTTCGGAGGTCCTGGGCGGCAGCAGCATGCGGTAGGACCAGCACAGACTCCTCAGCAGGCCATTTGGGCTCAAATCCAGACTCTCCCACTTACAGCTAAATGACCTGGAAATATTTTGTGAAGACTTTAGTATCCTCACCTATGCAACGGAATAAAAATATCTACCAAACAGGGTTGCTAACAAGAATAAATGATGTGGCAAGACAGAAAGACTGAAGAAGAGAGGGTTTTCAACTCCTTTGGGTAAATATGCCCCTTGGTATTTACCCAAAGGAATTGAAAATATAAGTCCACTTAAAACCTGCACATGGATGTTTATAGCAACTTGATTCATAATTGTGAAAACTTGGAAACAACTAAGATGTCATTCAGCAGGTGAACTGATAAACTGTGGTCCATCCAGACAAGGGAATATTATTCAACAGTAAAAAAAAAAAAAAAAAAGAATTATCCAGCCACGAAGAGACAAAGAAGAACCTGAAATGCATATTACTAAGTGAAAGAAGCCAATCTGAGCAGGCTACATACTGTGTGATTCAACTCTACGACATTCTGGGAAAGGACGAATGATGACAGTATAAGTCAGTGGCTGCACAGGGTGGGGGCCTGGGGAGTAGAGAGGGACAGTCAGCACAGAGGATGGACATATGTCAGCATACATGTGTCCAAACCCACAGAATGTACACCATTGAGAGTGAACTCTAAGGTAAACTGTGGACTTTGGGTGATTATGGTGCTCATTGTAGGTTCATCAGGAAAACAAGAAAGATAGAAAGAAAAAGAGGAAGAGAGGAAGGAAAGAGAGAAGGAAGGAAGAAAGGAAGGAAGGTTAGGAAGGAAAGGAGGGTTAGGAAGGGAGGGAGGGAGCGAGGGAGGGAGGAAGGGAGGAAGGAAGGGAGGGAGGAAAAGGGGTTCTTCAAAATTATTATTTTCCTCTCCACCCATTTACCCTAGGACATGACATCCAATTTCTCTGAATCCTTATCTCCTCAAATACTACCTGGAAAAAATATCCACTCCCTACCTCGGACTATTTCATAAATACTTTGGAAAACTGAAATGCAACCATAAAGAACTTTTCTAAATTAACCCGAAGTCAGAATATGTCCTGGAATTCCATTTAGCTTATCATATCCTTCCTCTGAATGCATTTCAGAAATTGTACCTGTTGTATATTATGTTTAGTTAACGTTTTCAGGTGTCAAAATCTCTGACAAAGTTAAAGAGCCTTCATTGATTCCAACCAAAATGAACAGCATCAGAGACGCACCGAAGGTGACTGCTAGTCGTCACTTCTGATAAAAGCCTTAGTCCCGAAGCATTAAGTAAACAAAATGGATCCACAGAAAGGCATACATTTACAACACAAGGGCAAAATGAATTTTAAAAATGAAATTCCAATAAAATTAGTTAGCCGAAGTCAAGCAATCTCCTAAATATAAGCATCAAATTTTAAACATAAATAACTGTGTGTGTGTGACCTTGCATATAAAAACAAAAATCAGGGCAAAGATTTTACTTTTGAGGTCACAAAAACACTATTGGGATCAATGATCTCTCTCTGGAGGCTGCGCCCTGAGGTCTGAGCTGGGTCAATTGAGCTCGACGTGCTCACTTTGTTGATGTTTAATGACTGACTATATTCTGGGCCCAGGCATTAACGATGTGCAGAAACAGCCTCAAGGAAACTCAGAACTTTGGAAATAAGTACATATCAGACAGGGGGGAAAATGGCTGAAATAGCAAAAAATGCTACCAAAGGACAAAGATGTAAAAAGAACAGTCAGGTTGCTTATGCTTCGCTCTTCTTCCTTAAGCGTGTTCTTCAGATTGTTTGGAGGAAACCATGTTTGCAACATGAGAGCAGGAGCTGGGGGATAGGACGGGCTGTTTTCCTCCCTTCCAGTGCAATGCTGATGTGTCCGCTGCAAAAATGATCATCCGCTCCCCGGGAAACCAGGGTGCCGGACGTCACATTTGTGCTGGGACTGCACAGCACGGCGGCCCAGCTCTTCCATTCTAACCGCCAGGCTTCGTGGCCAGTTGTGTGGGAGGGGGAGTGTAGTTGGTGCCTTTCAAACTTCTGCTCTGAATGCACAAGCTGCATCCATCCATGCACTCGGCTTAAGAAGCATTCCAGGAGGGGAAGAGGTATCATCTCCCTGTTCTAACAATGCTGCTCTAAGAACTGAGAAATCAAGAGATGTCAAGTAACCACAAAGTCCCAAGAAGGGCAGGGACCATATGGGCAGTGGCCAGGAGGCAGGGCATCCAGACTCACACCGCTGGTCCCAGCCCTGACAAGTACAGCTCTGCCTTGCTGAGGTATGTGTATGGCCTTGGCTCTAAACTTCCTTAGGAACTAACAAATTTGTGCTGTTCAAAGAAAACTCCTTTGCCAGATGCTTTGAGAAAACCCCAACCGCATGGTTTTCTAAGCCTTGGCGCCTCTGTGACCTGGTGGAGGGATCTTCTCTGCACTCCCCTGCTTGTGCACCATGCCTGCACTAAGGGCTTATATTAGTTCCCACAACACATGGCCACAAACTTGGCAGCTTGAAACAACAGAAATTTAGTTTCTTATACTTCTGGAGGCCAGACCTCCAAAACCAGCATCACTGGGATGAGATCAAAGTGTAGGCAGGTGGTACCCTCTCCGGATGCTCTGGGGAACACCTGCTTCTGGCCCCTTGCACTCCGGGGTGGCTGCCAGCATTCCTTGGCTTGTGGTCCCTCCTGCCAATCTTTAAGGCTAGTGCCTTAAAACCTCTCTCTGCTCTATCTTTCTATTGCCTTCTCGTGTGTGTGTGTGTGTGTGTGTGTGTGTGTGTGTGTGTGAATTTTCTCTCTGCCTCTGCCTTGAAAACACGTGTGATGACATTTAGGGCCCAAGTGGATAATCCAGGATAATCTCCTCATTCCAAGACTCTTGAATCACATCTGCAAAGACCATTTTTCCAAATGAGGTAACATTTGCAGGCTCCAGGGAACAGGACATGGCTGTCTCTGAACTGGTTTCCTCCACGGCATGACTGCCTTCAGGGCCAATGTCCAGTCCAGAGAGCTCGGGCTGTATCGCTTAAGAATTGCTTTGTCGAGGCTCCTCTGTGTCTGCAGAGGTTCAGCCTCGGCTCACTGTCTGTCCTCCAGCCTCTGGACTCTTGCCTCAATATTCATCTCCGTCTAGTTCTGTTTGTATCTTATTATAAGGTTACCTCCAACCAGAAAGTTCTGGTAACTGAGGTGCAGGGGAAAACAGAGATAACCTCCCTTATGGAAAGAGAATGAGAATTCTGAAAGAGTGAAGTCAAGTGTGTAGTTACAGGTGAATAAGAAAATGTCACATACAAATTGATGTCTGTTATAAAACACAGAGCAGATACGAAATCCAGTCATTGAGCACGTTCATTTCTGTCCACAGCCGATGTCCCCAGCTCTACCCTGGCCTCAGCGGGTGGGTGTCCATCAGAATGTTTCGGTTCCCACCACACCCAGCACAGGGTTGCTTTGTTTCAGCCCCTGTCTGAATGAGGGGCGCACAGGCCTCCTGCGAGGTGTGACCTGCTGCGGGCTTCCAGCTGGGGGTTCAGACTCCGCACCTGCTCGCTGCAGGTGCTGTGGGGCGTGAGCTCTCCTTCCTCTGCAAAACTGGCGTCATAATAGCTATTTTTCCAAGTAGTTGAGAACCATAGAGAGACTATATCAGGCATCTCTAAGATATTGCCAAGAGTGAAGTAGATACTTAAAAAAAAAAACCCTACTGTTCACTTCTGTTCTGCCTTCACAGCACTGCTGTTTCAATAAAGGTGTGGGCTTTCCACCCTAAGCAATTCTGAACCCAGATGTTTGGAGCTCAGAGTTGTCCCACGAGACTGACCTCCACACACCTGTGCTTCTGACCTTCTGGCTATGAACAGGGGGATCCCATGACCCCCTCCGCAGGTTTGATAATTTGCTCGAGTGGCTCAGGACTCAGGAAAGTAATTTGTTTGCTGGACTACTGGGTTATTGTAAAAGGATACAACTCGGGAACCTCCAGATGAATGAGACACACAGGGCAACATCGGTGGGAGGGGCACGGAGCTCTGTACCCTCTCCAGGGCCGCCCTCCCAGTACCTCCACAGGGTTCAGCAGCCAGGAGCTCTCCGTACTCCTTCGATTAGGAGTTTCATCACTTGGGCACAACTGGTGACATCACTGGCCTTCCGCAATGAACTCAACCTCTAGTCCCTCTCCCCGGAGCTTAGGGGTGGGGCTGAAAGTTCCACCCCTGATCACTTGGTTGGTTCCTCTGGCAACCAGCCCTCACCCCGAGGCTCTGCAGGAGCCCCCAGCCCCCTGTCATCTCCTGAGCACACAGAGACACGATCCCTTCCCCTTCAGAGACCCCAAAGGTTTCAGAGGCTCTGCCTGGACCCAGGGATGGACACTACATGTCTTCTTTCCTGTCTCCATATCAGTGCCCAGTAAATGATGAGTAGTATACGGTTATTATCAGCAGTGGATTTCTCATGGGAAATGGCGATGCTTTACTGATTTTGCTGATAATATGAAGGAAAAGACAGACTCCTTAAAACAGTAAGAATGAGCACCTGAACCCCAGGATAACACTAGATTCAGGAGATGAACCGCTGTGGCTTAAGAAGGTGGCCGATCCAGCAGGGGGGCGGGGGGAGTGGCTCTGGGAGGCGGGGCCAGAACCCAGGCTGGTGCGCAGGGTCAGGGGCGCTGTCTAAGGAGACAGAGGGATGTACGGGTGGGGGGTCCCCTGGGCTGGAGAAGGGCAGGAGGGGAGCCCGGCGTGCAGTCTGCAGAGCAGGAGGAGCCAGGAAACGTCCCTCTTCCCTGGAAGGAGCCACACCACAGCTCAGGGTGGCCTACGACCGGCGCGGGTGCCTCCCAGCTCAGGAGCTGCGGTGAGGCGAGGCCCCGCAGCGCCCTCCTGCCCTCCTGCCCGCAGCCCACCTCTCCCGCGCAGGAACCAGGGCCTGGAGAGAGAGCAGGCCTGGGAGATGCTGGACAGCGCCTGGCCTCCGGGTCCTGCTTGGGGGTCGCCATGGAGACGGGGAGGTCCTGCCTTTGCTCACTTGTCCAGACGCTTCTGTTTCCACCTTGCTCTTTGGCATCTATCATGTTCATCTAGCGCTTCTTTAGAATTTAGCCTGTCGTTTGTTTGGTTTGTTATGCCAACTAGCTGGCCCTATTAAATTAAACTCCTCTGAGTGTGTGTTCTTAGGACCTCAATGAACACCTGATGGAATCCGCGCCATAAATACAGCCCCTGTTCAAGGTCAGCAGAGAATGAAGACACTTCCCAAATTCCCTCCCTCCTCCTGAGCCCCTCCCTCCCTCCCTCCCTTCCTCCCTCCCTCCCTCCCTCCCTCCCTCCCTTTCTCCCTCCCTTCTGTTTACTCTCTTTTTCTTTTAACATAAACCCCTCATAATAACATCCAAGATACCTTCTAGGATCCCAATACCTTCAACCAATATGAGTAGCAGCAAATGAACACCTTTATTACGGTGGTTCCAACCAAGGGTGACTTTGTCCCCAGAAGACACTTGGAGATGTTTTTTGGTTGTCACAACCTGGATTGGGGGGCAGGGTGCTACTCAGATGTAAATAGCTACCGGCCAGGAACACTGTTAAACATCTAACAACGCACAAGGCAGCCCCACAACAGACTTTTCTGTCTCCAGGTATCCAAGTGCCAAGTTAGGGAAGCCTGGTTCATGAATCTTCTCCCAGACAGCCTCAGGGACAAGTGAACACTGGGTTCTGAGGTGCCACCGTGTTGTCTGGAGGCTGATGTCACACTGGGAAAGTGCTCTCAGAAAAGCCAAACCCAGTAACTGCAGAACACAGCATTCTCTTCAACAACCCTTAGAAACGTCGTCTTACCAAACAACTAAGCACAGAGCACACCAGCTTCGTAAGGAAGACTGCTCGGTGGGGAGAAGCTGTCCTCTCCCAGCTTGTCCCAGCGCCCAAGCACACACAGACACCTGTCACAGCTTTCCTGTGCTCATGCTCACAACAAAGCCCACAGCCCTCCCTGAGCCACGGGGGCCAGGGCAGACGCACAGAGCTCCGGCTGTGTCTGGTTACCTGGGCGGACAGTCCTTTTCATGGCACTTCTTCTGTCTCCCATTGGGCTGTGTTTCTGGGTCACAGAACGTTGCCTTCACCATCCCGTGGCCCTTCTTCATGCAGCGGGCAGTCTGGCGGCGGATTCCTGGGGGTTAGGCAGAAAGGTTCACACATGAATCCTGAGCCCACATGCCCCGTGTCAGGCCCCTGGTCATGCCAAGTGATTACGCTGATAGCTGGTGGGAATGTTGGCCCTAAGGTATTAAATCTGGGATCCTCTTATCATCCGTGCTCCTGCGGCAGCCGGCAATGGGAGGAAGGACTACAGATAACAGAGGTAGATTAATATACAATCTAATACCCAGATCAGAATCTAGCTGTGGGGATAAAACTCACACACGTGCCAAGTAAAACATCATTGCTACATTATTTGTTAAGTGAAGACACAGAGGAGGTAGGGGCCTTTATATGACTTGGGATTCATAAACTGAAAGACGAGAATACAACTGAAAATAAAGCATGACGTCTGAGAGGTTCTGTTGTCCGAGTAGAGAGTGGCGATCGCAGGGATGAGAACACCGCTGCCCTCGGCGACCAGGTCGGTACCAGCACGGGCAGCAGACAGGGAGGGCAGACGGGGACGGCAGGCAAAGCAGCCGCATCGGCAGGCTGGACTTGACTTTGGATACATGATAATAGCTAACTCAGGTAGCTCCTGCCTTGTCCCAGGCACTGCTCCAAACCGTGTGCGCACACATGTGTGTATATGTGTGTGCATCCCAGACAAATATAAACCTATCGACATTATCATTATCACTGTCTGACAGATGAGGAAACAGGCACAGTGAAGACCCATCGGTTGGGGAAGGAGAAGGACCACTGGCCTTGCTAACAAGGACATCATTAGCAAGAGGACTTAGAGGAGTGGCCAGAATGAGGTGAAGGGACAGTGAGAAAGAGGTCATCATCCCTCTTGAGAGAGGTAACACTTCAATGTGGAATGTGAAACACCGGGTGAGGACTGAGCCCCCAGGGGACGGAGCCATCAGCTCGCATGAGGCTGGTACCCTGAGCTCTGAAAAGCCAGGTGCACAGAACTACAGAACTGGAAAGGCCATGAGAACACCAGTAAGACCGCCACCCCCTCACTTTTCTGGGAAAGACATGGAGGGGTTCCCCTCGGCCACAGGGCTCGGCCCCGCCCCGCCTTGCCCGCCTGGCATTCATACCAAACGCCAGACAGGGCATCTCGCGCTTTAAAAAGTGTCCAAGGGAGTCGCAAACAGTAAGAAAATCTTTTCAAATGCATCCACAGCATGTTGCGTTAAAGAAAACAGTATTTTGTTCTTTTTGAAAAGAGAGGTAATCTTTCCACCATGCAGGCTTTCTCAACTGATAGACGATGTATTATTCTTATTTTGTCGTATAAATAAACCACTTGATCAGCTGGAAGGCACATTATAAAGGGGACTTTCACAGCACAATGAGTGAGTCACTGTTTGGAAAGACAGACCAACGTGAGTGGAAAAGAGACTGAGAGGGCTGGAGCCGGAAAAGCTGACATGTATCTGCCATTGTCGCGTGGAAAACAGAACCATCTTTGGGCTTTGCCCTGGCCGATGTGGCTCAGTTGGCTGGGCATCGTCCCGTGCCCTGAAGGGTCACCAGTTCGATTCCTGGTCGGGGCACATGCCCGGGTTATGGGCTTGATCCCTGGAGTGGATTTTGCAGGAGACAGCTGATTGATGCTTCGCTCTCACATCAATGTTTCTCTCTCTCTAAAAATCAATTAATTATTTTTCAAAAGAAAAGAAAACAGAAAAGGCTTAGATACCTAGAAGTTTGACTAAGATTTTGGGTAGTTTGGCAAATTCTTGATGTCAGAAAATCAAAGAAAATGGTGACTTTCAAAGAGTTTGGAAACATTCCCAAAAGGCTTGTTTCTGTGCATGAATAACAAGGATGAGTGTGTTCAGTGCTCCTGACTCCAGAAATAGAAAAAGGCACAAACATTGAATAAAATGCCCCTTAGAGTGTTAATGACATTGCATGCGTCAAGCCGCAGGGCCAACCGTAAGTGTACAGTTGGACTGGCCAGGTAGATATCGTCAAGTGCGTCACAGAAAATGAATAAGGATGCGTCAGAGTTTCCCTGTGGAATTAATGGTTCTGGTGACCACTAGTCTTCTATCCTCCTGGGCCTTGGGTTCTCACATGACAGATTCAAAGCTTAGCCCAAATCCGCCATGAGGGGCCCCAACCCATAGCCTGGCTTCTCCCCTGTTACAAAAACACCACACCTGTCTCGGAACTTCTTCCTCAGTCCGGCAGTTTGTGGCTTCATCTGGTAACATGTGATCTGTAATCCCATTCCGTAACACTTTCTGGTTAAATAAGCTTAATAAACAAGTAAAATCCAAGGGCCCTGGGTTCTAGTTCTTATTTTTCTTTCTACACATCATTGGACTAACTGCAAGAAAATGAGAACGAAGACATTCAGACTGTTTTTGAGGGCAGGAAGCTGATCCCTGGAAGTGACTTTGACATCCTGAAATCTGTAATCCATGAAGGGAAGATAAAGTTCAAGTTTATTCACTGGAAACTTTGGATGAGAGGATTCTAGTTAATACAGTTGTATGGTTTACTTAGAATACAGTTTGTTGCAACTGTTGTCAGAATGTTTCAGAATTATATTAATTCATGTTGCCTTAGTGAATGTGTAGATGGCAAGTCACAGCTTCCAAAGACGCCTGCAACAATAAGCTCTCATGCAGCAAGTTCTCTCCACAGTGTGACCATGCCATCCCTCCATCAAGATGTGATGTCTAGCTACCCTGTCCTTGGACCTAATGCAGAAGTGACATTGTGTGAGTTCAGAGGCTAGGTCATAAAAGGCCACACAACCTCTGTCTGATTCTTGTGGTTCACAGGGAACTCCAGCTGCCAACGTGTTAGACACCTGCACCCTGGGAGAGGCCAGCCATGAGAGTAAAGAAACCTCCGGGTGATTTCAGCCCTCAGGTGTTGAGTCACCCCCAGGGACCCGAGTCTTCCCAGCCAAGGTGCAGAGCCATGAAGCATGCACGCCCTCCCCTCTGAGCCCTGTCTAAGTCTGACCTACAGAATCCATGAGCATTATAAACGATGGTCGTTTTACTACACGGAATTTAGATTGGTTTGTTCTATAGCAGTAGAACTGGAACAGCACTCAATCAATACTAGCTTTCTTCCTTTCTTGAGTCAAGACCAGAGTCAAGACCCAGCTTGGCCTCCTAGTAGTCTGACCACTACAGATGTATTGATTTCACCTCCTCTTCTTCTGTGGCACATTTCTGCTGATGCGCTCTGCATGGGCTCTGAACCCTGGGAAGCTGATCCTACCTTTGCTGTGGCTTCCGGGTGGGTTTGGGAAATGAAGGCACTGTCTCTTTAAGAAGCGCTCCTTGCCCTGACTTCTTCAGGCCTCATGTGACCCCGTGTTAATGAGCAGGGGAAATGAACCACCTTTCTTAGTTTCCCTAAACCCTACCCGCACCTTTGAAAGCAGCCCCGGTATTCAGTGTGGGTGTGCCATACTTTTCCTGTAGGGAATCCTGACTGATGAGGTCTCCTTTGCAGTAGAAATCTCACATTTGCTCAGTGACATAAGCCAGTTAGAGAAAGACAAGCACCATATGATTTCACTCATATGTGGAATCTAATGAACAAACTGAACTAACAGGCAAAATAGAGACAAACTCTAGACAGAGAGCAGGCTGCCGACTCTCGGGGGTGGGGCTGGAGAATGGAGGGATTGAGCAAAGAAGAAAAAATGAGAGAAAGAACTCACGGATACAAACAACAGTGTGGTGCTTTTCCGGAGAGGGGATGGGTGGGGCGGAAGAGGATATGGGGGGATAAATGGTGATGGAAATGAAATGAAATAGAAAAAAATTACGCATTAAAAATTTTTGAGTGACATACTCATTAATTAACTCTGTAAACCAACTGCTGGAATAACAGAACCTTTCTTTGAGATAGAATATTATAATACCTCTTGTAAGCAGTTAGAATCAAGTCATCTTCTTAAGAGTAATAACCATGATACAACATTGCAAATGCAGAAAGCATAAAAGATTAGGCTGAATCTATATTACCTTGACCTCTCCCTGGAAATTGAAGAAAAAATAATAATATTGGCTTTTAATTTGGCTTGCCTTCTGTCGCTTTCTCTTACACAGTGAACACAGCCAGAAAGAAATGTTTAATTAAGGATTTCAGTCAATCAATATATTGTCACAGCATTAAGTTAGCTGCATAGCTGCAAGTATTTCCTTGAAAAGGGCATTAAGTATAAATCAATCACATTCCAAAATATATGTGAATCAAATTCAAAATGTGATTTTCATAGGACTCCTCATTTCTCATGTAGCAATGAGGATGCCACCATGCCACTGTAGACACCTGGCAAGTCTTCCCGAGGATGCCACCATACCACTGTAAACTCCTGGCAAGTCTTCCCGAGGATGCCACCGTGCCGCTGTAAACACCTGGCAAGTCTTCCTGAGGATGCCACCGTGCCGCTGTAGACACCTGGCAAGTCTTCCCGAGGATGCCACCGTGCCGCTGTAGACACCTGGCAAGTCTTCCCGAGGATGCCACCGTGCCGCTGTAGACACCTGGCAAGTCTTCCCGAGGATGCCGCCATGCCGCTGTAAACACCTGGCAAGTCTTCCCGAGGATGCCACCATACCACTGTAAACACCTGGCAAGTCTTCCTGAGGATGCCACCATGCCGCTGTAGACACCTGGCAAGTCTTCCCGAGGATGCCACCATACCACTGTAAACACCTGGCAAGTCTTCCTGAGGATGCCACCGTGCCGCTGTAGACACCTGGCAAGTCTTCCCGAGGATGCCACCATGCCACTGTAGACACCTGGCAAGTCTTCCCGAGGATGCCACCATGCCGCTGTAGACACCTGGCAAGTCTTCCTATTCACCTAAGCCTAATTGTCTCGAGTGGAAATTCTGCCTTGGTATAAAGAACAAGTTTCTTATGTCCAAGAAAAAAAATAAAAGAAAAATAACATAGTTCTTTATATTCTCAGCTGAATATTGAGACTGCAAAATAGAGGGAGCCTGTTACATAGTTTATTTAGTTCAGA